TAGTTTAGATGTTGCTATGAAGGTATTTTCTGATGTGATTAACATTGAAATCAGTAGACTTTGAGTAAGGAAGATTCCCTCTGTAATGTGAGTGGGCTTCACTCAATCAGTTTAGACTTTGTTGATGACAAAGAGGCCACATGCTCGACGAGACAAGCTCAGGAGAGGCCTTCATGGGAGACTACAAACTCAGAGACTGTGAGTATCCTCACAGGATGGTCTGAACATAAAATTCCTAACCAAAGGTGAGTCATGGTGGGTAGTCATGTCCTAAGCCAGCAGCTTCCTTGACAAAAGTCAGTCTTTAAAGAAAGCGAGCCTGTCTGTTGTCTTTTTGCATCTAAGATAACATGCCTTTGAAATGTCAGAGTAATCTCCTCTTTCCGGACTACTCGGCACAATCTGCCACCAGAGCATGAGACTGCAGAACACGTCACTGTTGTGTTGTTGATCAGATACCATCTCTATGTGCTATAAATGTTAACTATCCTGTACCCACTAATGTAAAAGAAAGATGTGTCTCTCTGTTTTACTTTTTACCCAGTCTCAGGGATTTCCCATCGCGGCTTTCTCCTGCCTCCCTAACCCCCCATCAGTGGATTTAATGTAACTCCCCTCAGTGTTCCTCCTGTAGTTCTCATATATAAAATAAGCTGTAAAGCAGCCATCCTCCAGAGCATTTTCTCAATCTGTTGAGAGTTTGCTCCTGGACAATTGCTGTCAGTTTGGCTCAGATAAATTCCTATAAGACTTCTTAGGCTGGATGTTCTTTTGCTGACAGCCTTAAAAGAAAAGACTGAGGCCTCCAGACTGCATGCAGACTCAGGGGTGCAGCGTTAAGACTGCTGCACTTTCCAGCCTGCTGGCCCGTCCTGTAGTTTTGTGCTTGCCAGCCCCACAGTACTGTGGGCTAAATAAAAAAAATCTTTATCTATATCTATAGATTATCCTATTGTTTTTGTTTTAACAGATAACCCTGACTCACATAAATGGCAGTAAATGTTTTTGCATTTGACTCCCAAATTTTTATTTCTAGCCCTGACTTCTCCCCTGAACTCCAGATATCAACTGCCTATTCAACATCTCCATTTGGATAACAATAGGTCTCTAAAACCACACTACGGATTTGTCCCAAACTGTTGCTTTCCATCTCTTCCATTCCCATCTTTTCTCCTCCTCCCTGAATGTTTCCTCTTTTTATTAAAGAGAGCCCCCATTTATTCAGTTGCCAAGGCCAGAACTCTGGAGTCATCATTAATTCTACCCTTTTTTTTTTATATCCCTCATTCCATCCATCTGCAAAACATATTTGCTTTACCTTCAAATAATATATCTTCTTGCCTCACTAATCCAGTCCTTCACAATCTCTAGCTTGGACTGCACTGTAACTTCCTAACTGGTTACATTCTTCTACTCTAAATCTCAAGCTCTTTTAGTCAGTTCTTCACACAGCAAAGCAGTGCTTTTAAGATACAAAATAGATAAGTCCTCTCTCATGGCACTTTGGCTTCTTATCACATTTAGAATGAAATCCAAAGTCCTAACTATGGCCTTTGGGGTCTGATCCCTGGCTTATTCCTCTGATCTTACTGTCTGCTACTTTATTCCTCACTCACTGAGCTTTAGACACATTGGTTTCCTTGTAGATCCTTGGGCAAGTCAAGAAGGTTCCCAGGTTAGGGCTTGAGCACTCTCCATTTCTTCCGCTTCTAAAGGTCCCCTCAATACTCTTAGGGCTTCCTCCCTCATTTTACTCTGGTCTCTGTTCAAGCACCGTATTCTTAGATCTTTCTTGGCCTCTGTCAGGGAGGAAAAATTTCTCTTCTACTCTTGTAGATTCTTCTAGCTGGTTTAAGAATTAAATTGAGATGAGACAAGTTAATGGGAGAAAATCAAGTTTAATTCCACATTTACAGTAGCCCCATAAAAAATGAGGCCCAAAGACATCAGGCAATTGAGGTTTATATGCCATCCAGAGTTAAAGAAGAGGGATAGGCATCTGGGACTTCACATGGAAATGGAAAAATGGATGTTTGTTATGACATGCAAAGACAGTGGGACACAGAGAGTACTTTGAACATGAAGGCTTTGCTAACTTCCCGCCAGCCCACCATACCCCATGTTCTTTGCAGTTATATCTGGTGATAGCTTTTCTTCCTGGAACAGGCTCTCTAAATACTTTTAGGCAGGTAGGGGAAGGTAAAAAGCTCTCCCTGAGCCTTTTGTTCCTTAAAATTAATCAGCCTAAAATAAACCTCATGCTAAAGAAATATATGTTGGAGTGGCAAACTCCTGCTCCCCATACCTCCTTACCCTACTTTATTCTTCTTCAGGGTACAAATAATTCTTCCCTTCACTTTTTTTCTGTGAATGGAAGCAAAGAAATGGGGTTGTGACAATGAGTGTTGGAGCACATGGGAACATGGGAGACTGTTTTTAAAACGGGAAAACTACAGTGAGTTTGTTTGGTGGTGGGCATGGTCAGGTAGTGAATAAGAAATTGATGATGCCAGGGAGGGAAGCTAATTTCAGGAGTGAAGTTATTGAAGATTGAGAAGGCAAGAAAAGATGAGAATCCACCCGTAAGTGGAGAAGTTGGCTTTCATTAAAATAGGAGTGAAAGTGGGGAATATGGCAGGTTGGTTGGGTGAGAAGGAACATGGCAGGTTGTAGTCTAGTTGAGTCTATTTTCTTCAAGTAGGAAGCAGGTTGTAAGCCAATGACAAGCTGTACGTGTATTAGAAGTTTGAGAAAAGAGGAATAAGTGTGCAATAGTCACTTTGGAAACAGGGAAAACAGACATACTGCTGGGCAGCTGTGGGGACATGTGGAAGTTTATGGTCTTGCCTTAAAAGTGAAATCACTTTTAGTTTCTGTGTTTTCTCTAGCAATGTTATGCTGCTTAAGTAGGGGGAAGAATATGTGGACAACTAGGTTTAACAAGAGTGGGCTAAGCCAGTGCAATTGAGGCATTTGGGCAATTAAGGGTCCTAGAAAGCTACTGAAGGCTTGAGCAGGGAAGATTTGAGTGTCAGAAAAGTGATCGAGCACCGTGTGGTGAGAGAGGCTTGTAGGAGGAACAGTAGTTTGATTCAATACGACCCTTGACCAAACACCTGTATAGATAGATCTGTTAATAGAGTGCTTAGATGTTAGAACATAGGGGCCTTTTCAAGCATCTTCTGTGTACTTACTGTATGTAGCAGGTTCTGGGATGACAAGATAAATGAGACAACAGTTTGCCTTCCCAAAACTGTCTTGGATTTAGATGATTTGTAATTATTTGCAGGTATTTGGGGACACAGAAGAGAGGAGGATCGGTAAATACTGGGCTGGAATTAGGGAAGCCCTCCCAGAGCAAGTGACATTTCAGATGAGAAAGGGTAGGCGCTTAGGGAGGGAAGAGAATTCAGGCAGGGGGTATAATATAAACTCAGTGAAGAGAATAAGATGTATGACTAGAACCAGTGCTGCATGATGGAAAATGTGGGAGATGAGGCACTTCTTCCGTTAACCAGCAACTAAATAGAACTAAGGAGTTCTCTCTATTTTGTGACAAGGGTAAGGCATCTGGGCCCTTAACAGCAGCAAGAAGGACTTAAAGTCAATGTGAAGGTCTTAAAAAAAATGGTGATTTTTTTTTTTTTTTTTTTTACTTAGAAAATAACTACCTGGATCTACTTGAGGGATTTGTACTATAATTTGCTCCTTTAAGAATAGTGTGAGATTAAAATGCCTGACCTTGTCCTTTTCTGGTATACTGTTAGAAAATATTAACTATGGTAACTCTGACCTGTCATACCGGGTCCTTAGAAATCAATCCTTATCACTTGCTTTTAGTACTTTTATTTCAAGTTAAATGATTTTAAAGTCCTCTCCTAAGGCATACTTTCGAAATAAGCTATAGTTTCTATGTATATTTAAGAAGGAGGAGATTATGACCAGGTTCATGGGCTGTTTATTGCATAGGTTAAATGAGCTAAGGCCTATAAAATGGTTAATGCAGAAATTGTTTTCTCCTAGCTTTCTTTCTGGCACAAACAGTCTTCATCCTCTGCTCCTTAACTCACCTTGTTTCCGGAACACCTGTGTTCTAGCCCCATCCTCTGTTCTAAGGACCCCAGAACTGGGTGAGGCGTGCTCTCACAGAAATGCATGGTGGCTGTCATGCAGGGGTGTCGGTTTAGTGGGTGCGTGCATGTGTATACATTCAAAAGCTGAGAGGATTGGAAGGGACTTAAAAAAACAGATTGTTTTTCTGCCAGGTTACATGTGTGGTTTCTTGAAGCCATGAGAAACCAGCAACCCGCTCACCTGACTGTGCTTCAGTCCAGCAGTATCCAAAGAAGTGGGGAAAACATTCATTTATTTACTTATTCAGAAAATATTCATAGCTAGCTACTTGTGCAAGATGCTGAGTAAGAATATGACTAAGAGCAGGGAAGTATGGTTTACTTCTTTTCAGGATTAGTCAAGGTGAACTAGGTTTTTTCTTTTAAAAGCCTGATAACTAACTTCCTCCAGACTGACTAATACATTACCTGAGGGCAATGGGTCCCCAACTTTGCTGGTCACTAGAATCGCCCAAGGAGTTAAAAAACAACAACAAAACCAGATGCCCAGGTCGCACCCCATACCTATTACAACAGAATATCTGGGGGTGGGAAGCAGGACGCCAGCAATTTCAAAGATCCTCCCATGATTACAGTGGGCAGCCAAGTTCTGGAGTCACTGCTTCAGGGCATAGTCCAGTTTTGTTCCTTAAAACCCACTCTTATTTTGGGTTCTAGTTCCAGATATTCCTTAAGTTGTTTTTGCTCTTTTCTTGGGTTGGGGGGCGCTATGAGCAGGAAGAGGATGTGGCGTCACCCAGTTGGGGAATCCTAGTTAGCTAAGCCATTGGCGTAGGCTGCCAGCGCTGCACGAGGAATGGATTTTTGCTTTGTCATTCTGACTCTGGCTCTCGGCCCACCCGCTCAGCCCAGAGAAAGGCGTGGCTTCTTGTAGCCACTAGGACCCAGCAGTCTGTTCCCGTTTGCCTTAGTCCCGCATTGCATCGGAGCAGAAGGTGTGGGGCACCTGAAGAAGAGCCTGTAGCCCTGCCTTGGGCTAAGTCACAACTGACCGAGCTCTGAGCGTTCAGGCTGTGAGCACGGAGGGACGTGAACTTTCGCCTGCCTGGTGCGTGATGAATGCAGGGGAAGGGGAGACGTTTTAAGGCGTGTTTGGGTTGGGGTGAGGCTTTTCTGGGGAAGTGAGCTTCTTTGCAGTTTTCATTGTTTTGCCTCGGTTAGTGAAAGCTTAGCATGTGGTAGGTGACCGGCTCCGTGGTGTTTTTTCTTTAGTTCTTTGTAGAGACAGTTTCCTTGCAGAATTATCTTAGAAAATGGGTTTTTGTATCGTTTCTTAGTGAACAAGTCTTGAAATGTAGATAATCAGGTGATAAAATGGATCGACAGATCCTCGACAACATTAAGAGGGTGTAACAATGTAAGGAAGCCTTTCAAGGAATTTTCACACCATTAAATCCTCGGAAATCCTGAGAGATTGGCAAATTATATCCATTTCCATGTTTAAGGCTTAGAATCATATGACTTGCCCCAGGCAATTAAACAGGACAGCTAAGAGTGGAACCAGTGCTTTTATCTGACTGTATCAGGTATTACAGGGTAGCGGATAAAAGCGTACACCACATGGCCTGGGTCCGAATAGTGGATCTGCTGTTGACCAGCTGCATGACCTTGGACAAATTAGCTTTTGTGCCTCAATTTTCTATCTATGAAAGGGACCTGATAGGCCCCACTTCACAAAGGTAGTTATGAAGATTGTGTTCATATATGCAAAACACTACAAAAGTGTTAGCTGCTATTATCACTATTGTTATTATCAAACAACTGTACTTTTGAGTGATGGTGTGGTTTTTGTCTCATGAATGGGCCTGATGTCAGTGTAGCTGGACTTTATTTTTAATTCTGTCACTGACTCATTCCCTGAGTTCACCGGTAAAATTGGACCATTAGGTCCCCTATGCCATGTAGGGTGTTGCTGTATTGATCCAAGGTTCTTAAATAAATAACCGTAAGTGGACAGAGTGTTCGTCATTTGAATCATGGGTTCAAATGTCAAAGAAACATTGGAAGTTGGATTTTGGCATTCTGTACATATACATGCAGCATTCAAAGGAAGATTAAGTTAGGAGGTGTTCTATAAAAGCTCAGATAATTGTGCCTTAAGCTTCCTTTTTGAGGCTTTCCTGAATTCCGAATTTACTGGGAAAGTAGGAGTGTAAGTTTAGCGAGACTTGCCATGATTTGCGTCTGGACGGATCGCTGGCGTTTTGGCCTCGTGTTTCCAGCTTCTGTGCTGGTGGACCGGGTCCAGGGTCCAAACCTGGTCAAGGACCTAGGTCTCTGTCGGGGCTGGGGGCAGGTGGCGCTATTCTGCGGAGAGGCAGCATGTTCGGGTGGCCTGGGGGCGCGCCCTTAAGGATGCGGAAGCCCCGCCCCCACCGCGCACTTCCCGCCGCGGCTCTGGGCGGAGAGCTTGACCCGCTCCCTTCTCTGCTTCTATGCTACAGAGGACGGGCTGGGCCTCGAGCGAGCGCTGGCCGAGTTGACTGCGGAGACCAACTTACCGGTGGTGTTTGTGAAACGGAGGAAGCTAGGCGGCCATGGTCCAACCCTGAAGGTAGGTAGGAGTCACGAACGTTTCTTTCGCCCGCCTGAGCTGGGAATGAGCCTCCCGCGGTCGCAGACCAACTTTCGAAGCCAGCGTGGATGTGGACGAACCTCCAGACGGAGCCTGTCCTTAGGGAATGACCGAGAAACACTGGGGCTAGCCCGCGTGTTAATCCAAGTTGATGAAACGTTGGGTAAATCTCTGAACTCTGGAAGGGTATATGTAACTATTTTCATCTTTTAAAATGAGTCTTTTAAAGTGTCCTTTTCCTCCTATTGTCTATTCCTCTTTCCCTCCTAGGACGTATAAATAACTTAAAACTTTAAGAAGTGTAAACTTGTTTGAGGAAGTACTGAGAAAAGGGGATCAGAAAATGTTTACCTTTTTTTGGTCTCTATCTTCCTTTTTAATTCTCTGGGAGGGAAACCCAGAAACCCCAGGTACAGGGGAGAGCCACCAGGAAGTTCCTTGAGTGGGTTTATGTCTCTTTTCTAGTCCAGCATTAACAATTGGGTGGTGGAAAAGGGAGAAGGGTTTCCTTTGGCTGGTGGCAAGCGTGGTGGCCACTCCTATTGTAGGACTGTCCCCTGAGGGATGGATGGGTCATGACCTGGGGCACTGGCAGAATGCTGGGGGCTGGCTGCACGTTTACATGGATGTAGTAACATGGATGATGGACATGGTCAGGTCTGGTTGGTTACCAGGTTGGAAAGCCTCATAATCCCATCACCTTGATACATCCTTAATTTTTGCTAATCATCTTTTTTGTCCTTGTCCGTAGCTTATGTAATTTTTAAGAAATGAAACTCATATTGAACATTTCCTTCTGAGAAAGTAAATGTGAGGCCTCAGTTAAATGTAAAGTCTACTTAGATGTGTGTGTCTTTAGGAAGGATACTAGAAATTAATTTGCATTTTTATTTATTACCTTTTCTTCTAAAAGAATTTTATTTATGTTTTTGAAAAATGGGTACAGGAAATGGAGATAGAATTCATAGACAAATATTTTAATGGAAAATAAAGAGAAAAAAGGCTTTTGGCTTGATTTAAAATTATGGTGTTACTCAGGCCTTTAGTTTGCAGGGAAAATAGACAAAGGTCTATTAATATTCCTTTCTGTCTGATTGATTTCTGTGTTCCACTTGTGTCATAAAACTACACTTAAAAAGTTATTTGATCTTTATATAAACTATAGGTGATCCTGGTTTTAACATCAGTGGAATAAAAAGAATTACTTTTTATAAGCTTTGGACCCATTTTATTGATATGATCTGATGTTTTCAAGTCCATATGATCACGTAATTTCGACCATTTGAGGAAGTGCAATGCCATGAATGAAAAGCACACCATCAACTCATAATTAAGCCCTTTGGCACATCTCTTTTGAGTATACTTACCACTCAACTTTGTATCATTTGGTTTATTTTTGGTTTTTAATGAGTACTAAGGAATGGAGGAAGAGACAACTGGTAAGAAGCTCTGGTTTGAAATGTTTGTGAATTTCCAGCCAATTGTTGCCCATATTTGGGGCTAAATAGTGGGTTCTGAAATTCTTTAGGGAATATTGTGTTTGAGTGGAGGAAGGCGTTCCACACCTTTAAAAAAAAAATAGGTTTAAGACTTCATACTCTGATTGTAACTTAGATAATGGAAAGGGAACTTTTTAAAATGTCTGCTTCTCTTTTGCAATTGTTTCCTTCTTTGTCTCCCTCCCCACCTCAATAAATAACAGCAGTAACAACAGAACTCACCTTGCTTTCAATGTACTTACTGTAGGAAACAGGGAGTGAGAATCCTGTTGGAAGGAACCGATAAGCTTCGATGACTAAGGAAAACGGTTTTTAAAAGTGTTTCAAGAAACTGTAGTTTATGGAGCACCTGCACAGAATCCTCTGGTGTGTTTATTAAACATGCATGCCTGGGCTTTACCTGAGGTCTTGCTAAGTAAACCCTCTGGAAGGGGCTAGAATCTGCCTGTCTTTCTTCTTCTTTTTTTCCTTCTTTCTCCCCCCTGGGTCACTCTTATGATGAATACCAAGTTTGGGACTTACTTTAATGTAAAGGTAGTTTGGTCAGGATCAGTTGGTAAATAATTAGAAGTGGGGAAAGGCAAGGACTACTCTTTAATACCCAAAATGTAATAGTTAAAAGATTGCAAATGGTAACTCAATAGGTGAGTAACAATTTATACCTGACTAGAAAAATAGGGAAATATGCTGTCTGTGGCTAGGACTTGGATGTCCATGTGTAAAAGTGGCTAGAGAGCTACTAAATTCAGAGAACTATAAATAGAGTCCCTATTGCTCCAAGACACCTGGCTTTTGTGCACATTTTAGTTTTTAAGGACAAGATTGCAAGTATTTGTTATAGGGAACCTTGTATGTAAATCAGTGTCTCCAGGATTCCAGATTGTTGAAACCACTCTGGCGGTATAGAGAAAAGCAAAGTGAATGAAAAAGTGCTTATTGGAATACTAAGTGCTAGACTGACTTAGACTTCAGTAGTTTCAGGTAGTAGTTTTGAGAGAGAAGACTAAAACTAGCAACATGGGACTTAATTTCTTCAGAGCAATAATAGGAGAGATGACAGACACAAATCAATGCACAGTTAACAACCCAGGTAAATTATGGAGACAGTTGTGGGAGGAGCTCAGATGTGATTGTGTAGTAGTCAGGTAGCCCCGTGTCCCAGCCTTGAAGTGGGGTGGACATTGAAACAAAGGCAATTTCTTTCGAGCCTAACTTGTACAGTTTCCAGAAACTAGATCCTTAACTGAACAGACACCAGGAGATGAGTGGGAATTTAGTAACTCTCCGGCCATTCCTTTCTCTCAGTATCCTACCAAAACTGGCAGAAACTTTATTTCTTTGGATTTTTTTCCTTTGAGACATTTCCATCTGGGATTTGTCCCTTCTTTCCCTCCCAGGAAATCTAAATAACTTAAAAACTTTTAGAAGAACTGTAAACTTGTTTGTTTGAGGAAGTACTGAGAAAAAGGGATCAGGATATGTTTACCTTTTTTTGGTCTCTATCTTCCTTTTTAATTCTCTGGGAGGGAAACCCAGAAACCCTGAAACCCCAGGTACAGGGGAGAGCCACCAGGAAGTTCCTTGAATGAGTTTATGTCTCTTCAGGTGTCTCTTTTCTAGTCCAGTGTTAACAGTTGGGTGGAGGAAAAGGGAGAAAGGTGTCCTTTGGCTGGTGGCAAGTGTGGTGGCCACTCCTACTGTAGGACCGTCCCCTGAACAGTGGCGATGAACAATGTACCTGCTTTTGGCCTAGTTAAGGTTGAGAACTGAGGAGAACTGAAAGACTGTTTCGAAGGTGAGGATGTGAGCGGGCTCTGATTTACTTAAGAAAAAGGAAGGAGGTCAGGGCTAACATAATTTAAAAGGGGCATAGATTGTTAGGTTTGCAAATAAATTTACCTGGTGCTCATGATATACAGTAAAATGTTTACTCGTTGTGAGTCCATGTTGAGACCCAGTGCCGCCTCCTCCCACTTTAACCCAGTGACAGCACAAACCTTTTTTTGCTGTGTAGCTGTTCTACAGTACATGTCCCTGTTCTGGTGGTTGGGGCTTCAGATTTCCTCACACCTTTCCTGCCTGTTCACTTACCAGGGCCTGTATCCTATGTATGTGCCTACCACCTCTATTAGCTTTGCCCTGGCTGTTTCAGAGCCTGATTTTCTCTTGCCCAACCATTTCATCAGTCTCTAACCTGCTTTCCACTTCTGAGCTATTTCCCCTTCCAGTCCATCAGCTGTCAGAATTACCTTTCTGATTGCTTCTCTGCTGCCCCCAGATCTGTATCCGTGATAACATGCACATTCCTGCTTTGTATTCTGTTCCTCAAGGATCGGGGCCCCACCTACTTTTCTGGTTATCTTCTGCTCTGCTCCCTCGCCTAGAATACTCTGGGAAGCTCCTGGGAATACTATTAGAGCTATAGAGTCCCCCAAATTTCCTTTTTTCATTCTGTTCTTTGTTTCATTTCCTGACTTCCTGCTCAAACTCACTTTTCCAACTGCCTGTTTCAGAGCACAGGGCCAGGTTTGCCCACTCTTCCCCTCCTCCGCCCTCCCACAGCACTCCCAGAAACACTCTTCTATGGAAAAGGAGGAAGCCCACCGATGGTTGTTTTTTTTTCATATCAAAAGTAGAGAGTTAGTCGTATTCTTTGTGCCTCTGATCCCAGGTCTATATTAGATAGAGCTCAGCAAGTATTTAAGACATGCCTACTAATGATAGTAGCTACCACTTATTGAATGTCTTACTATGCACTAGACTCTCAATGCTGTAATATTTGATTAAAGCCTTAAAGTAGTCCTATGAAGGAGGTGAATTATCATCCAATTTTACATATGAGAAAATGGAGGCCCTGAGAATTTAAGGGGCATGCCCAGTACACAGTAATTAGGTGGCAGAGCCAGGAATGGAACCCAGGCCTGCCTATAAAGTTCAGTCAGGTGTACTCACACTTCTGGCACTTGGCTTTGTGTTGGAGCTATTGGCATCCATGCCCGATCTCCCTGGTGTGATGGGTGCTCATGATTCAGGGCTGACCCCATGCAAATCTTGGTATTCCTAGCATAGCTCTGGCAGTTGGAATTCATTCATTAGATGCTTGCTGAGTGGAACTGCATTCCTCTATGCCTACTAAGTTGTAGCTTCCTTTAGGACAAAAATGATTTATTTTTTATATCTTCTCTGTTTTAACACCTAGTATGCATTCAGTTAATATTTGTTGAATGAATGGGTGATGGTAGGACTATCGGAGACTCACTAAGTGAGGTGTTTAGCTACAAGATGTCTGACTCTGTGAAGGTGGACAGTCCGTATCAGAGACCAAGCCGTCAGCTGTCCAGGAGAGAGTGTAGGGAGCACATGCAGCAGTTGGGGATTTTGAGGAGCTGTGTGACAGCAGTGCTGCCCACCTTCAGCAGCCTGTGCCTGTGTCCAGCCGGCTGAGAAGCGAGTCGGGTTATATCTGTTTAGCTACTGTTGATGGAGTGCCTGTGTTCTTGACATTGAGCTAGGCACAGTGTTACCTCTACCACAAGTCTGTTGGGCCACGTATGTACTTTAAAATATATTTGTCAACAGTGTTTCCCTGTGTTTTTTAATTGAGAGTCACAACCACTCTGTGGCAGAGAAGACATTCACTAGACTCGTTTTACAAATGAGGAAGTTCAAACTGAAGAAAGTAAGCGGAAGCTAATACAGTTTTGATTTGAACTCAGGCCTCCAGAGTAGAGTTCTTTCCAGGCGGCCTCCCTTGAAAGCCACGTACCCTGTGCTTTCCCACACACAGTCCATCAAAACAATGTTCCTGGTCATTGCTGACTACTGAGGTGTCCCACAGCGTTGGTAATCGCTCTTACAACCTGAAAGGTTCTGTTCTCCTCATGACACACCCTTGTTTACATTAGTTCTTGAGGCTTGGCAAGTCAGACCCACTGGGTTTTCTGAAGTGTCAGGTAAGTGTGTGACCTTTACCACAGACTAGGTAGGGGGGAGGTTTCATAGACTCTGCAATATTTCAGTGAGTGGCTCCAAATTATTTTGTGGGGCTTGACTGTCAATTTATTCCACTAACAATACAGCAATATTATTTGAATTCAATAGTTATTCAGAGCCTCTTGGATACTGCTGAAATCCAAGGAGCCATTCAGGAGAAAAAGATACATAAATAATTTTTCATATTGTTTTAGACTCTTTGTGGACCTGCTTCAGAATGTCTAGTAGTAGATAGGTTTACATTTGAAAGTACAATGTCTGCTTCCCTTAGTTGAAGCCTTAGGTTTTAAAATTTTATTATGTGGCAGATTTCTTTTCACTGATATTTGTTATAGTGGGATATATTCCTTTATTCTTCCTTATGAATTTAACCTTTAAAGTACTTTTCTGTTTCTAAAACAACATCGAAGAGTGAAGCTACTGGTTTGTGTATATATTTTTCTAATGTTTATTAAACATTTGCTTTCTTTGGGATAATTTAAGATTTATTAAGTATGTACTCAGTAGTTGAAAACATTGTCAAATCTGTCGTGTAATTCTCATTCAATACATACAGTAACTTTATGATGTAAATAGTGGTACTTCCATCTTACAAATGAGGAAGCTAGAGGCCAAGAGGTTAAGTAAGCAGCCTGGCGAAGATAACACTAACAGTTAATGGGGCAAGATTGGAACCCAGGTTTACCTCTTTCCTCACTATTCATGGTCTCTTCAGAAACTCATTTGCCTTGATCGTAGCAAAGTTGTCCTTTAATACTAGAAGATCAAAGAAAGCAAAATATATACTCAGAAAGATAACCTTAAAGGAAATTAAGAAGAAAAAGAAAATACACCTAGCATTCTGCTATTCTGACAAGTCAAACTAGGACTTTTACCATGTCTCTTTACAGCTCAATATTAAATAGATACCCTGGCAAGATGAGGGGAGAAAACTGCTGTGAAAGAAGGAACAAAAATATTTAGAGGGTAGCTAGATGGCAAGATAATTCTTATCTGTTAGAGTGCAGGACTTAAACTCTTAAACAACTGTTATAGAGTAATCCTGAAATAAAAATCCTACTGGAAAAGATAGTGAACCCTGTGTTCTTCTTTTTATTTGGCCAGAGAGAGACCTGTACATTTATGACATCTATCCCATCATATTTGTGTTGAGCACTGGGGGTTGTGGGAAAGAGCTTAAGAATGCTTGGAATGAATGGATCTGAACTCCCAGCAAAGGGACTGAAAAATAATGCAGGAGGGAAAACTGAAGAAAGAAAGAAAGGAAATGGAGGGCTATACTGAGCCCTTGGCAGCAGCTCCTGAAGGAGGAAAAAGGGGAAGAGAGGAGCTAAATTACCTTGGAGGCCAAGCTGTGTGTCCTTGGTTGTCTGAACTAGCCATACTGCATGAAGACGGTAGACCAGTGATTTTGAAGGACTAGTGAGTTTTTGCTTTCTGTTACAAGTCATAGAGAAGTTTACCAGTATACTGAAATTGTGTATTGCTATTTCCTCTTTTTTAAAGTGGTATTTATATAATTATTACCAGTAATTTGACCTTAGGTTAGAAAGTCACTGTTTAGTGATTTAAAGATTCACAGGTGTAGAAGTTCCCATTCTATAAATGATTAGGGAAAGTCATCAGATGTGAAATTTTTACTTTGAGGCTACATCTGAACTTTGTGTTCTAAAGGCAGATTTAAGAAGGCAAAAATATGTGAATGTGGCTTAATGAGTATTATTTAAGTTACATGTTACTAAGGTTCCTTAGGGACAGGGATCTAGCATGGCATGAATTCAGCAATGGAAATCATAATAATATGATGCTGTCTTGGTGTGTTCTGTTGCTTCAAGCAAATTGTGTGGGCTGTTATCTCCTGAGAAATCCCTGTAAATAGTATTAGTAATACTTTATAAGTAGGTTAAGAGAATTAATTTACTTTTGCAAAGCATTTTGAAATTCTTAGATGAAAGGCTCTGTATGGAGCAAATTGGTATTAGCCTGTTTTCCATTCTCTGAGCCAGGAGAAAATAGGCACCTTAGGGTGGGAAGGTTGGTTTACCTTTTGGAGTTCTTTTATAAGTTACTTTTATTGAATTTGAAGTGGCTATCAGAAGTTCCCAAGAATATAGTTAACTATAAAAGCAAACATTTTTGTATTTGAGAGCTGGAATTAGCTATGTGTTTTCGTCTAAGATTTAAAACAGGTTTAAAGATTAGTTTGAAATTGGCCAGACTTGGGGGCAAAATGTGGTGCCTTGTTGATCCTGGGTCCCAACTTTGTTTTTCTCTTGCTTTTTTCAGAGAGGGGTAAGGCTGACTTTCTGAAAAGCAGTCAACTTTTATTTTTAATGAGTAGAATCTCTCTCTTAAACTGTTCTTTGAAATTAAACCTTTTGTGGCCAATTAACTTGCAATAGGTCCTGGAACAAAGATTTTCATCTGCATTCACATGTGCATACTCAAATGCATCCATGTGAAAACAGCTTTGCTTGGAAGATTTATGTATCAGATTCTTGCTTTAGAGAAGCCAAGCAGTCTAATAGTGTTGAATAATATATATGCACAAGTAACCATAATGCATGGCATTTTTGAAAAATGTATGCTTCTCCTCTATTACCCCTACTTAAAAAAAAATATTCCTTTTTAATGTTTTATATACTTGCTGCTAGTGTGACTACTGAGCTGAACCCTTTCTCCAACTGTACTGGAATTCCCTGTGAACTAGGATGAATTTTCCAATTTAGATTAGTCACCTGATATACAGCATTCACTGTCATATCCTTGTAACAAATTGTGTTTAAAATCTTCATAGCTTTGCTCACCTTTTAGAGTTCAGATTTACTATACCTTCAGTACGTGGCCTTTAGCCTTTGGCAAGCTTTCAAATAAACAGTTTTTTGCAGAGAATGTAGTCACTTTATTTTTCCGCCACCCTATGATGGTGGAACCAGAGATCGCTTGATCAGTACCCACCCCTCTCCACTTTTTAGCTTGCTTTAGCACTGAAATCCTGCACACTTGATGAATACCCCCGACCTCCCATGGGGTAGATTGGAGGGTGTTGGGCCTTTGAGGGCTTTTGAGGCCCCGCAAAAGTAATTGACGCAATTTACATTTGTATAATGAATTGAGATACAAACAACCACCTTGCAAATGGACCCTTAGAATTCGGCCTGTTTGTATAGAGGTTCTACACATCCAGCTCCTTGACCTTAGAGACAGTTTATAACCTAGCCAGATTTAGTTCTCAAAAAAGAAAAAATCAAAAAGACCTTTTGAATCATAGTAAGGAGGAAAAATGAAGGTCGACTTAACCGCAGTATGTGACAGCAAATGTTTTGAAGGGCAGGACCTTTAGTTTCCCCACAGTTTTGTCGTATATCATCCAGGTGTTTCTTTGAAAGCTACGGGACGCCGTCAGTAAACGTTTAAGCGGGTGTTATTTCAATGTAGGGCTGGGCCCTATTGTTGCGTCTGTTCCGTGCGCCTCTGAGCCCGGGGCTGCTTTGCCGGCGCAAGGGGCTGTCGGGAGGCGGAGCGAGTTGGGGGTGGGGCTTCCTGGCTACGCCACCGGAGCGCATGGGCGGACGGCATCCTCGGAGCTGACAGACCCCTTCAATTTCCGCCGTTGTCGGAAAGATTGCGAAGGCTGTGAGCAGAGCGCTACTTGAGCTCCCTCGGTCGCCAGCATGACTGATGAAAAAGATTCCCTGAGGGGAGGCGAAGAGAAAGCAGAAGAGCCGGTGGTGCGTACCGTCACCAGTAGTGCGTACTCCGTGAAGCCGGCGGCGGAGGAAGAGCCCATGAAGGTGGAAGAGCCGGTGGGGGCTGATGGCTTCTCTGACAGCTGCTCTGATGGCTGCTCTGACGACCTCAGCTGTGGGGAGGCCCACATAGATCCAAATCTCCTAGGGCTTGCGGCTGACGAGGAGAAATGCCGGAATATCCGCAAGCAGTACCGGCAGCTCATCCATAACGTCCAGCAGAACCGTGAAGACATAGTGAACACGGCGAGCGACTCCTTAACCGAGGCTCTGGAGGAAGCCAACGTCCTTTTTGATGGAGTGAGCCGAACCAGAGAAGCAGCTCTCGATGCCCAGTTTCTCGTTTTGGCTTCTGATTTGGGTAAAGAAAAAGCAAAGCAACTAAACTCTGATATGAACTATTTTAATCAAGTAGCTTTTTGTGATTTTCTGTTTATATTTGTGGGTCTGAACTGGATGGAAGATGATGAACATGAGTTGAGTGGCTGTGACGATAATATAGCTCTTTCCTTCTGGGAGACAGTGCACAAAGAAGCAACATCCTGGACATTGCAAGCTGAAACATTCCACTTTATTTTTGGTTCATTCAAGTCACAGTCTTCTGCACCAAAGCACCGATCTGAACACCATAAAAAAACTCACAGAATGGAAGAAAATGGGGATATGCCTACAAAGCTGAGAAAGCTGGACCTGAGTAATAACCAAGAAGCGACAGAAAAAGAAGTAGAAAGAATCCTGGGACTGTTGCAAACGTACTTCCGAAAGTATCCTGATACTCCCGTGTCCTATTTTGAGTTTGTGATTGATCCAAAATCTTTTTCTCGTACTGTGGAGAATATTTTTTATGTTTCTTTCATTATAAGGGATGGTTTTGCAAGAATAAGGCTTGATGAAGACAGGCTGCCAATATTAGAGCCAATTAATATTAACCAAGTGGGTGAGGGAAATGATCCCAGTTCCCATGGCAGGAAACAAGGAGTTATATCTTTGAGTTTACAGGACTGGAAAAATATTGTGGCCACTTTTGAAATTTCAGAGGCTATGATCACAAACTCCTACTAAATATTTTTGTTCTTAGTATAAGGTGCATTTTGTGGCTTTTCTGAAGTATCTCAAAATAGAGTGTAAAATCTAAGAAGCACATACTGTATCTCTTGTAAAATGAAAAAAGTGTTTTCAGGAACATCATAAATTGTACTGTGCAGTGTGTTTTTTTCCTTGGTAGTTTATAAGGTTGTCATGGTCTTCTGTTATTAAAAAAATTACTGGCATGTTCGTGGAAAATTTTTTTGAATGTCCTTTAAGACTTTATTAATAAAAATCAGTTCAAAATTTCATAAATTACAAAGTATTTGGTATTTACTAGAAAGAATTAGTTATGATCTGTAATACTGCGTTCCTCTCTTACAGGGAATCAAGGGAATCCCATATGGGACTCCTAATCAGGTTGGGGAAAGAGTGGGTAGAAAATGCTAAAGAAAGACTATCGATAAGCCAGTGAATATGCAGTATTATTAATACTGAAAAAAAAAATCAGGTGCCTTGCTTCATTGCTGGGAGGACTCAGTCAGATTAATTAGTGGGTATCCATATGCTAAATAATTTCTGTGATTAGATTCAAAAGGAATAGAGTGTCTACTTGTTAGGTAAGACATCAACTAAGTGCTGAAAGGTGAGTAGGAATTGGTCACAGATGGGAACAATATACTGGGCAGGGGACACGGAAGCCAAATATATGGAATCATAAGAAGGTACAAAACCAGAGGACCATAACTTTTTGTTGTTGATGTTGTTAAGTATTACATTTGAATGTTAAACTGGCAAAAATTGAATTACCTTGTCAATTAGTCCTCAAAGGTACAGGATATTTTTGTCAGAGTATTTCAAACAACACCTTTTTTAACATCCAGTTCTAATCTTTATCTACTTGGTTAATTTCTTTCCTGGTCCCTAGTTTCTCTTTGTAATTTCTGCTAGTACACAGAATGTCCTTCAGAAATCTGATGTTTCATTATGTAACAACCTTGAATATTTGTTCCCAGTTTTGCCTTTTTTTAAAAAAAGATTTTATTTATTTATAGAGAGGGGAAGGGAGGAAGAGAGGGAGAGAAACATTAATGTGTGGTTGCCTTTCACACACCCCTATCCTGGGGACCTGGCCTGCATCCTAGGCATGTGCCCTGACTGGGAATTGAACCGGTTACCTTTTGATTCACAGGCCAGCACTCAGTCCACTGAGCCGCACCAGCAGGGCCAACTTTGCACTTCTTAATAGGGCTTTAAATGCCTGGCAACTGTTCCTGTGTAACCTGAAACAATTGATTAATTTATTCTTAAAGCCATAATTTCTTTTTATTACTTTCAGTTGTTTTAAAAATACAAATTACAGCTTTGTTTGAGGTTATTGCCAAAAATTTAGGTCTTTAAGAAGAAGGTTTTTGAAGGTGCAGGGAGCATGCATATAAACCTTTTTTCTTGATCCCTGTAGTGATTTTGCCATTAAATGTTATTTGGCAAGTGAATAAGTGTTTTGCATAGCAGTAATGATCAATTTTCCTACTAAGTCTAGTGTGGTAGGAGGAGGGGAAATCCAAAAGCTAAATGAATGACATGAGATTGAAAGGAGAGATCTTATATGTGGGTAGGGCGGCAGGTGGGGGGGAAGTTTCTTTAGTAATTGTGAAGGTTTTTAGCAAAAAAAGAAATTTCTTATAAAACTTGGTCAATTATTTTCCTAGCAGATGAACCCTTAGAGTTCATGGTCAGTTTGTAGTGGAGGTTCTGCATGTCATGATCCTTGACCCTCCCTACAGTTTGTGATCTAAATAGATTAGTTCTCAAAAATTTGAAGGAATGACTATTCCCAGTGTCTATCATCCTTTTATTTAGCAGTTGGGAAAGCATTTTCCAGTCTTGCTGATCCCCACTTCAGCATGTCTTCACTAAATGAGTTCCTTGGTTTCCTGAGATTTGCTGCTTGAGGAAAAGATGCTCTTCAAATGATAGCAAAAAGATCTTGTTTCAATTTTTTACTTGCCACCAGATTGCTCTGTTAAATGCCTAGTGTCTTTGCTAGGAGTATTTGAGACTTAGTGATGAATAAAAGCAGTAATAGGGAATGTGAAGGTTTCGGATCTTCTCTGCCGTTATAGCTGTTAAGATATAAATCAAGACCACTTGTTTTTGTTTTTACTTGTCATGATACCTGGGTTGTCTCATCACTTTGAAATGGAAATGACTGCTTGCTTACCTTGAAGAAAAAGGAGAATTGACCAATAGATAATTTAATTATAGAGATTTGGTATTAACCAAGCTGCACTTCTGCTGGTTTCCCACTAAATAGAGTGGCTTAAATTTATGGGATCAATAAAATCAACTGAATTTAAGGAGAATATTATGGGATTTTTTTTTTTTTTTAAACCAGAACTTTGTTAGATAACAACCACTTTCTGATCAAAGTACCTGGGATCAGATTCTGACCCTCTAACATTCTAGTAGAGACTTTGGACAAATTATTGAACTTGTAAATCTTAGGTTTCTGATTTACTAAGTGGGAATAATACCAATCTCAAGTTTGCAATAAGGATAAAATTGGAAAATATATGTGACAAGTACTTTGAAATATGAATAACTGGGTATGGTATGGGGAGAAAAGAGATCTGTAGTCATACAGACCTGGATTCCATTCTTGACTCATGGGCAAAGTTCTTAATCTCTATATTGTCATTTCTGAAATGAGAAAGAAGACATCTGCTTGGAAGACTATTGTGAGGATTAAATGGGGTGGAAAGAGCCTGTGCTAAGTGCCCTGACGATGTGTGAATAGAACTGCAGGAAAGAAAAGGAGAATGTTGTTTGGGAACTTGAGGGAGACAGTGGAGGAAATGGGGACTTACCTAGGGATCTTAGAATGTTAGTAAAAAGAACCTTTTGAACTCTTCAGTCTGCCTATTTGCTGGATCACAATTTGTTTAGAAGAGGGTATTTCAGGTGGGGGTGGTGCAGGGAAGTGCCAGGGACATCTGTGAAACACTCCAGAGCTTTTGAGTTTATTTCTAGGTAGGTTCCTTCCCTTCTTTAGGTTGGACAGAGTTAGTAACTTCCAGGGATTTTCCCTCCCAGCCACTGTGCTAATATGTATTACCTCAGTTAAACTCTGTAGTTTGATGAGTTACAGGGGTATGTTAACTTTAGAAATGAAAACACAGAGACTCCTAAGAACTAAGCAATTAGCCCTAGTTACCTACTAGCTTGGAGAGCAGTAGAGCAAGTGTTTTAACCCAGGTCAGTTCAACACCAGAACTCAAGTCTAATGTTAAGAAAACCCAGTACAAATCTGTGTCTAAGGATATAAATCATGTTTGGGGGAAAATAGAGATTACTTATTCTAATTTTTAAAAAATCCATTGCACTTGAATTGCTTTTGGGGAATTCCATTCTTGGGCAATGCAGATTCCCCTTCTTTGGGGGAATCTGGAGCAGAGTTTTACTGGGGTGGGGGAAAGGCATTGCTGAGAGGCAGATGGAAGAGAAGAGAGGGAAGAATAGCCAATATATAAGCTCCGCAAAACCTGCAGGTGAGGTGGTGTGTATTTACACTTATGTCCTATAGCAGTGATTCTCAGTGTGGTCTGGATCCCTCTGAGGCCCTTCCAGGAATTCCTTGAGGTCAAAAATGTCTATAATTATAACATTAAGATCCTGTTTGTTTGCCCTTTTCACTCTTAATTCTCTTGCAAGTCTCCCATCGGGTTTTCCAGAAGCCACGTACATGACAAGTGATGTTGCAGCAGTGAACACAAAAGATACGGGTTGCCTTTTATTCAGACAGACATTAAAGAGAATTACAAAGATATTGTATAAAGCAGTGCCACTCTAATTAAAATTTTTTAAATTTTTTAGTTAAAAATAAACATTTTTAAATAAATTTAAGATACCTAATACTATAATAATTAAAAATATTTAAAATTTTTTCTTAGTTTTAATTTTTAATATATTAAATGTTATAAACAAATCCCATTAACCAAAGCTCTTTGTGGTCCTAAATGATTTAAGGTTGTAAAGGGATCCTGAGACTAAAAAGTTTGAAAACTTCTCTTCTATATCAGCTACTATGATCAGCAGCCACTATTTCTAGCAGTTGTAATTGGAGAAGATAGGGGGGAGCATGTTTTTCTTGTGTCCTTACCCCATCTGCGTGCCCCTTCCTTACATTGCTTGGGGCTAACGCTACTGTCTATCCTATTTATATTTCAGGTGGGAAACCACTTACCTGGAGCTGAATGACAGCAGTTTCACTTTTAAGTTAAATTAAAATTTAAAGACATCATGTTTAGTTCTGGGAGCAGCTGAATGCTTCAGTTGCCCGTGTCTTACTGATTTTACACAGTTAAAAATGTTCAAGCTCACTCAGAGCTTTCTTTGTAAAGTCTGTGCCCTGGTTGATATAATTTGACTTTAACCTTGGACCATCTGATACAGAATTTCAGTAAAGAGCAGATTATACACATCGTTGGAGGGAGTATGTGGCTTTTCAGCATGACAGTGCATTTTTTTGTTGCTCTAGTAGATATGTTGGGGGAGGTGGTTATAAGAATAGGTGGTTTTCTTTTAGGCAGCCAGTGATGTGTTCTGGCACCATCTGTGCTAAGTACATGCAGATAAAATGAGTCTGCGATGAAATACAGTTATTTTCCGGAAGAATTCCTAGCTGCATTTATTAATTCTTTCAAACCAGCACGTCAGCTTTATGCTCTTCGAGAATAGCTAGAGAAAAAGCTTGTTATCTAAAGATTACATTGATCCTTTGATCTGAATGGCTATTATTACCAAGTTGTTTTTTCCCCCCACAGTGCCTTATGTTGAAGGAGGACCCTCTGCCATTATGCCAGTTGATGAATACTGGCTGTGTGTACCAGCCTGTCATGTTAGACCTTTTGTGCAGACGGTCAGGGTGACGCAGGCTTGCCCCTACTGTTGCTGGTTTCCAGGTGTTCAGCTTTCCGTCCCTGGGCCATCCTGCGTACCTGCAGTGCTGCCTCCTCCTCCTCTTCCTCCTCCTCCACCACCTTCCTCCACTGCACCCCCTTCCACACCCCAAGCATCCTGTTCTACTGACCCCAAGCTCTGCCTTTCACCCCCCACACCTGATGGTAGGCAGGAGAAAAATGTACAGTCTGGGCTGGTAAGTTTGGGGGCTTTTTTGTATGATGGTTAAAACTTGATTTTTAAAAGACATTTTTTGAAAAATGTTTGTTAAATTTACCAGTTATTATCTCATGTTAGGGCAGATTTTTGTTTCAATAAAAGGTAATATTAAATATATCACCAAAACAGTATTCCAGACTAATATGAAATGATAACTAATGTGTATAAAAACTAGGGGAATGAAGTGATTTTTTAAAATTAAAAGTCTATATGGGGTGGGGGGGGGTGTAAGGGGACCAAAAGGTAATGGAAAAAATACAATAAAAAATAGAAATATTCATCATAAAAATAAAATTAGTTAACAGTTATAAAGCCTGTTATATGCCAGGTACATGGAAACTAAATAATAAATATAGGAGGCTTTGCATATAAGTAAAGAAATGAGCTTTATAGAGTCATGTGTATTTATTTCCCTGACTTTTGTTTTTTATGCAAAAGCGGAGACTTTTACATTTAACTTTTTATGTAGATGTATGTCAATTCATGATTTAGTTCTGAATTTCTAGACTTTATGCCTACCTAAGAAATGCAGAAAACCCTTAAGTATTTGGCTAATCTGTTTTAATTGCTATTTGCCAGGCCCCATCGTTGTCTGCCATGTTAGCCCACTCATTATTCTTTGACTAAAAAGTAAAGATAATTGTATCAGTGATTCTATTAAAAACATAAAATACGAATGATTTAAAAACCTAGTTTAAAAATGCTAGGATAAAAGGGCTGATCAGACTTAACTTAGGCCTAAATTGATTTCATTGGGCCTTCAGGACCTTGCTTATGTGACACTACAAAGTAGGGATCTGTGATGTGAAAAGGTTAAACATTTCCATTTGTATGCTCTAATGTAAATCAAAAAACATGTTTTCCTTTGAAAATTCTTTTTGCTTTTCTTTAAAGAAAGGTTTTCTCACAAAACTTTTCAGACATTGTTGCTTTTAAGTTAAAGTATTTTCCCTTTTGTTGTTTTTCTTCTTTAGGCTTATCAGGAGGGCAGACTTCAAAAGCTACTAAACATGAATGGCTCTGAGGATCATCCCGAGTCCTATGACTATGACCTCATCATCATTGGAGGGGGCTCAGGAGGACTGGCAGCTGCTAAGGCGAGGCTCCTTGTGTGTTATCTGGGTTACGTCAGGTCTCCAGATTCTCTGTGGGATCTGTCTGAGCCGCTCTCGTTGCATTTTGCACATTAAGTTGGGTAGAACATATTAAGAGGACCACTTTATAAATCATTTTTCCAAGTTGAAATATATGTTCTTTACATGAAATACTGGGCCCAGTATTTTGGGATTCATTTTCATTCATTTTAAGTTCGGTTGATTTTTCAAAGATAATAAAGTTGTATGGAAATAGGTTGAAATGAAATATATTTCTATTCTTAATAAATGTTAATTTTTTTCTACTTTGATTTCCCTGTTCACAACTCTTCCTCCCCAATAGAAAGATGGGGAGCAGTTGGATTTCTTAAACTCAGTAAAAATGATTTGCTTCTTGTGTTTATAAAGTGAGCTAAGAGAATAACCACTAACTGTGGCCTGGGGTGATGGAGGGAGGCAGGAGGGAGGCTCCTGGCCATGAGTTGAGATTTTTCATGTGTGAAGGGGCCCTTGGAGCTGTCACTCTTGCTGAGGAGTTTCTTTTAAAAGATGAGGTGCTTATACTCCTCTGAGGTATAGCTTGTGGTGAATCAGTAAAGGTAGATTCAAATGAAGCTGCCCAAATTAGGAGCAGGCCAATATCTGGTATGAAGCAGAGCTTTGCTATAAATGACTCAGGAGTAATACTGGGTATATGTATTAGACTGTAGTGATGGTGATTTTGAAGGGCACATAGACTCAGCACTTTCAAGTAGTTGATACTCTTTAAAATGAACTTTTGACTGTCATCACTCCTGTAAGATAGATTTGGAAACCTTATAGATATCAACTTTTTAATTTGTTCCTCACATGAAAATTTTAGTTAATCTGACAGTTTCAAAAGAAAAACTTCTCTAATATTCTGCATAGAAACAAAACTTAAAAGTACTTAAAAATGTAGGATACAAGCTGAATCAAGTGTTGTAGACTCTCAGTAAGTGTGTTTTACTGGCTACTTAACACTTGCTTAGAAATAGGCATATGTTTTTCAGATGATTGCTTTTTTTGTTATTGGTCGAGTGGGATTATGTCAGAGGATGATAGGGTTTCCAGTTGATGGACAGTTTCATAACTGTAATCTGCATATTAAAGCTACTCTTATGATTAAATATTGCTTAATTTTTTCCTGAGTAGCACTAATTAGATGAAATTCTCACGTATTAATCACTGGTTATGCTTTGGGTGCTCTAACCTAATAAAAATAGCATGGATTTTTAACATCCAATTTCAAGTCTATCAGGTTAACCTTTCCAACTCATTTTCATAATTTTATTTTCTAGGAGGCAGCCAGATATAACAAGAAGGTAATGGTCTTGGATTTTGTCACTCCAACCCCTCTAGGAACTAGATGGGGTAAGTTTTTAAAATATTTTAGAAGTGAATTTGTAGGAGCAGGTTTTTCCTTGCTATTGGTTTAAATGGCTCCTAAAACCCAATTATAAAACAAAACAAAAACATGTACCTCTTTTATGCTAAGTTAAAGTGGACTCCAGTTAAATGTTAAAAATTTAGGTTCTGCCCTGGCCAGGTGGCTCAGTTGGTTAGAGTGTCATCCTCATACACCAAAAGTTTGTGGGTTCAATTTCCAGCCAGGGCACATAGCTAGGTTGTAGGTTCAATCCCTGGTCAAGGTAGCAACTGATTGATGTTTCTTTTTCATTTCTCTCTCTCCCTCCCCCTCCTTCCCCTTTCTCCTCTCCTTTCCCCTCCTTCCCCGTTTTCCTCTCCTTCTCTCCCTCTCCCTCCCTCTCTCCCTTTTCCTCTTTCTCTCTAAAATCAATAAAAACGTTCTTGGGTGAGGATTTAAAAAAAAACTCATATATTGAGGCCTGCGCAGGTCCCAACCTGTCCGTGGTTTGGAGTTGCTATCAGCCTCAGAAAGCAAAGTAGAAGGTTTGTCTTTTGGGAAGACCAAGTGGTCTTCTCCTCTGAAAAAGCCTCCTACATAGTTGGTCTTAACATCTTTCAGGAATAGGAGAGCAAGGATCGAGGCCCCATGAGTTTGGGTTTTCATTTTAGAGAGAAGACAGTGGTTGTAACAAAGTCCCGAGTGGCATGTAGTTACCTCCAGAACGCATGCCACTTCAGGACAGTCATGGATGTTGATTCCTCCATAATAAAATACTAATAAAAATACAGTTTATGAAATGCTCCGCCTGGGCTTCATGACAGTGCTGGAGATTTATTCCTTGATAATAAAATACTAATAAAAAGACAGTTTATAAAATGCTCATATACACCAAGTTTTATGTGTACTTCCGGATCCACTACAGGCCAATTATGCTCAGCTTCACAACCTCTCTATCAGGTAGTTCTGCTCATAGATTCAGTGGCAAGTATAGGCTTGTGCACAAAGTAAAATTTCAATTTCTGACATCTTGACTGGCAGCCAGTTAATTTTGAATCTTTGAAGTATGTGGAAATTGTGGAAATCTGTTCATGTTTGTATTGTTTTCGGATGGCTCTGTTTGGTACATAAGGCTGTCTGAAGTTAGAAATGTCACAAGACGTAGGAATAAACTTATATATAACAGTATTGACTATATTAAGAGTTCTTAGAATGGTAATTATCGTGAACCTTTTTCTTTGAAGTATTGTAAGTAGCCTATAAACCGATATCTCAATGCTGTTGCAGGTCTCGGAGGAACATGTGTGAATGTGGGTTGCATACCGAAGAAACTAATGCACCAAGCAGCGCTGTTAGGACAAGCCCTGAGAGACTCTCGAAACTACGGATGGAATGTCGATGAGATGGGTATGGGGGAAGCGATTGTTCTGTTTGTGCTTTGGGAGAGTTTGAGCTCTGATCTTTCAGTGTATCATCCATTTCTTTTGAGACTAGCAATAACCTGGAAGTTGTTTTTATTGTTCACATTTTTAATGGATAAAATCACTGCAGATATCCTGTGTCTGGTGGCTACATAGCTAGTGGCTGTATAGCTATTATGGTAAGAACAGATATTGCACTTGGAGCATCTATCTTTAATAGGAAACCAGAATTCTTTCAAATAAATTCTCATAATTATAGAGAGTTTCACAGAAGAGTACAAGTAACATTTACTTTCCTTTGAAGCTTTGCATTTTCCTTGATCAGAAGAAGCCTGTTTCATGAGCTGAGCTGATAGTTTGAGGGTAGAGTGTTGAAAGGAGAAAAGGATGATTAGTCTTTGTCGAATTAAAACTAAGAGTACCCTAGAAAACTTGAGGAGGAATTTGTTGACTTTAGAACGTAGATTGCATTATCTGGTAGGAGAATAACGTGACAACTTATACCGCTTCATGGCTAATTAATGACTAGGTCACTATTTTCTCAAAGTGTGAAACTCCAGCCCCTATCTGATTTTAGTTTTGAAATCTATGGGTTATGGGACAATTGAGGGAAAGTCTTCCAACCAGTAGCTAGGGTAAATTATTTGGTGGGTTTTTAAAAAAAAATAATAGTTTATTGTTTTTTAAAAAACAGGCATAAATACATGGTTTGAAAAATTTTGCTTCTACTCAAACTAGTCATGCTTCGTTTATTGATATCCTTTCTTTCTCATTTAAAAATCAACAGAATTTTTTTCAAGTCTGGAATCTTAGAAAATCACTTACTTTAAAAGTTTTCCTGGGGTTATATCTCTTCCCTCAGACTCTTAGAAGGCTGCTTTCTGGGCCTTTAGAATCTTTAAAAGTTAAGAGATAAGTACAGGCTTCTGCTGAAGGTGAATTTTATTAATAGGGCCGACTGAGTTGAATTCTAATAGGCTCGGTAATCAGGTGGTTGGTGAAATAACTTGGTAAATTTGGTAAGTCGTCTTTCCAGCAAAAGACTATCTCTGTCGCCATAATGTAACAGTAATAAGCCACTACAGCCATGGTCCATATCTGTACATTAAAACCAAAAACTCCCCGAATTTCACAGGGTTTTAAAACTTAAAGTTATTTATCTATCTTATTTGTCCTTAAAAAAATTATTTGTCCAGCCAGTTTAACAGTTTTACCTCTTTTGTGTTTCTTTGCACTTTCCAGATTTTAAGGTAGAGACATATAGTTTTTTATTTTTACAGCTTTCACCTCTTCTGTTTGTCAGCAGCAGAAGCAATCCTGTAGTCTTTGATGAGAGCCAAAGAGCTGTGCCCTCTGGTTAAATCCCTCCCTCTTCCCAAATCAAGCCTGGTGGTTTGTGTATTGTTGTATACAGCTTTTCCCATTACACTGTGGGCTTTCTGGAGGAGGCCCGGCCTAGCTGGGCTTGGTGGGAGTGGCCGGCCAGGCCTGCCAGGATCCGCCACCCAGGGAGCTGTATTACCTCCCTCCTTTTTGTTCTTAACAGGACTGTGAGGAAGAGTCAGTGGATTTAGGCAAATGTTGATGTCTTTAGATCTTAAAGGAAGAAGGAAACTTGGAGGCTTATTTTTCAAATGAGAAATCCCTGGAAGCTGCTGACTGATGTTCCCATGAAGGCTTATTTTACATTTTTCAAATAGAAGCACATCTAATCTCCTGCCCTTGAGCAAAGAACAGTGCTCCAATTTTCTGGGAAGACTGTCTTCTCTCACACTCTCACGCAGATAGCTCCCAGCTGGTGAGGGAGCAAAGGGACCTGGGCTAGGAGCACAGCTGCATCTGCCTGATGGCAGGGCAGTGACAGGAGTGGGACTCAGCCTGTGATCTGCCCTTTCCCCAAAGCTCCAAATGGAGAGTGTACAGAGAAAGTCTGAGGCCTTAAAAAAAAAAATTTACTTGAGCTTAGTCGTGTAAATTGGGTGGCTGGATGGTCCTTTCTGGAAGATGTATGGGCTTTATATTTTTTCAGATTTCTTTCTTTGACTTCTCCTATGCTCAAGAATTAAATATACCTTTAAAATATTAAGTATTAGAAGTTTTAGAATCCCATTGTCAATACAAAGAAAGCCAGCTCGCCTTGGCTGGTGTGGCTCAGTGGATTGAGCTCCAGCGTGTGAACGAAAAGGTCACAGGTTTGGTTTCCTGTCAGGGCATATGCCCGGGATTTGGGCCAGGTCCCCTGTTGGGGGTGAGGCAAATGACTGATGTATCTCTCACACATTGATGTTTCTCTCTCTCCCTCCCTACTCCTCTCTCTAAAAGTTAAATAAATGAAATCTTAAAAAGAAAAAACGGAGAAGAAAGCCAGCTCTTTGGTTTGCAGTTGGGGGCTTGCAGTGTGGGGATATAGTCCCCTACCACACACCTGGTGTTTCACATACAGCGTGTCTGTGTCTGCCACTGGATTAGTGTGTGGCCTTGGGCAAAGCATCTGCCCGTCATATCCCTGTGTATATCAGGGAAGTAATTCGAGCCCCTTCAGGTGCTTTGAAGTTCACATGGAAGGGGCATGGAAGACGTTAAAGATTCTATGTAGTTCTGCTGGTCTGACTACTGTTGTTGAATCTAAGGATATGGCCTGGCCCTCTGTGTGTGTGTGGCGGGGGGGAGATGGGGGGCAGCAGAGATGAGGAGCAACAGACTTGGCCTATGACCCAGTTGCTGTGGTAGGCACAAGAGCACACCCGGGTGAGACACACGTCCTGCCTGGCCAGCTCGAGTCTACATTCCAGAGGCAGCGTTGGATTACAACTGTTTTGTCTTATCTTCTCATGCAGTTAAACATGACTGGGGAAAAATGACAGAAGCTGTACAGAATCACATTGGCTCTCTGAACTGGGGCTACCGGGTGGCTTTGCGGGAGAAGAAAGTCACCTATGAGAATGCATATGGGCGGTTTGTTGGTCCTCATAGGATTAAGGTAACTGTGTGACAGCCTGAGTAGCTTTTGGTGTGTTTGTGTTGAGCTTTGGTTGGAGGTGGGGAGGAAAAGAGAAGGTGATTATCCTAATGAAAGTAATAGCCACTGTGAGCCAGGGTGGCTAATGTGGTGATTTTGCCATCACATCTTCCTATGGGGCTTTCTTCTGTGGTGTGGTAGAGGGTCAGAGTACTAGAATCAGGGCCAGACTACCTGGATTTGAGTCTTGGCTCTGCCACTTCCTAGCACTGTGACCTTGAGAAAGTCCCTTAATTACTCTGAGCCTTAATATCTCTTATGTGTTACCAAATGTTTATGAGGATCAAATTGGACAGTGAGGTGAATAGCCCTTGTTAACTATAAATTCTATGAGATAACCATTATTAAAAACTGACATACTGGTTTCTTTGTAGGCAACAAATAACAAAGGCAAAGAAAAAATCTATTCAGCAGAGAGATTTCTCATTGCTACTGGTGAAAGGCCACGTTACTTGGGCATCCCTGGTGACAAAGAATACTGCATCAGTAGGTAAGGACAAAATTTTGGAAAGGAAAAACCCACTGTGGATTTATGGTTTTGTTTTTTTCTTCAAACCCATGTGTCTGTTTCCTGGAACTTAGCCAATTTTTCTTTTTTTTGCCATATTTTTGCCCAAAGGCATAGGAGATTGGGGAAAAGAAGGAAAAAATATTTTAGTTAAGAGAACATTTAAAAAACTGATAACTATAAACATTGGTTATCTTACCCCCGCCCCCCAAGTTTACATCATTACTAACATACGGATAATGCTTATGTTGAAATTGATATATGTGTGAGTATATTTTATAAATGTATAATGTGAAGTGAGAGGGAGCCCTGGCAGGGTGCTCAGTTGGCTGGAGTGTCACCCTGATATGCTCAAGTTGAGGGCTTGATTCCTGATCAGGATACACACCTCGGTTATGTGTTTGATCCCTGGTTCAGGTTGCATTCGGGTGGCAGCCAACAGATGTTTCTCTCTCGCATCAATCTTTCTCCCTTTTTCCCTTCCCCTCTCTCTAGAATCAATAAACATATCCTTGGGTGAGGATTAAAACAAACCAAAAAAACCAGATGAATAGTCACAAAGAGTGACAGAATTTTGTAAATGATACACATGTACATACATAGTTTTTGCAAAACTAGGATTGTCTATTACCTTCCCCTTTAACACTTGAAGTGTGGATACTGAAAGAATTAGAGGATGGCAGATCATTTAGATTTATCAAAGCCTAGTCCCTCTTCATTGTTGTTCAAATGGTCATAATGTCAGTGTAGACGGACCTCCTAAAATAAATGAGTCAAGCAAGAAAGTCTTGCTAAGAGATTTATTTTTGTACATGAAGTGATAATACTAGCAAAATTGTTTTTCAGATGTTTTAAATTATGAAGACATTAAGACAGATTGTTGATAAATAGATCTTGGATGCTTTTTTCCCAGGATTTTTTGATTGTGTTATAAATTACCCTTTTTTAGACCTTTTTTCGGGGAGGAGGGAAAAGATTTTTTTCCTTTGTGTCTTTTTTCCTGTGGGGGAGGAGGGCAGCTCAAATGGTAACTGTTGTCTTTGTGGTCTTGAGTAGGCTCCCTTCTCATATTTAAAAAAAGCTCATTTTCTAACAGTGCTTTTGTGATATCATTCATGTCTTCCATATTCTTCACTCAAATAGAAGATTTTGTCAGATTTTACTTTTCATCATTGGCTTTTATATTACAAAAACAATAATTCAAGTTTGTCCCCATTCTTCTCCCCACTCTTGGTAATTGGTATTCCAGATGAGAAGTAACAGATTTTCCACCTCGGAGAGAACTGAGGGGTGGGATGAGGGTTTAGGTTTTCAAGTGTATGATATTAAACACATTAGTGGAGAACTTTTCCAGACAGTTCAGAATTATTTTGGCTGTGAGCTGAGTTACTGTCAGAAGTTAGACAGTTTGCTGTGCTTGGCCAGAGTAGCTTAAGCTACTCCCCAAACAGCTGGGTGGCCAGAAAGGTAGTCTAAGACATAAAAACAGCTTACATATTGTATGTATAGTTGATTAAGTGTTTTAAATCTTAAAAGTGTCTTGTTCATAAGAAAGTGGAAATATTTACTTTGACTTGGTCATTATTCACATATGAACGTTTTTCTGTTTGTTTTTTTGTTTTTGTTTTCTTTTTTTTACAAAATCTTTTTTTCAGTGATGATCTTTTCTCCTTACCTTACTGCCCGGGTAAGACCCTGGTAGTCGGAGCATCCTATGTTGCTTTGGAATGTGCTGGATTCCTTGCTGGCATTGGTTTAGATGTCACTGTTATGGTACGGTCCATTCTCCTTAGAGGATTTGACCAGGACATGGCCAACAAAATTGGTGAACATATGGAAGAACATGGTATCAAGTTTATAAAACAGTTCGTACCAATAAAAGTAAGTGGAGTTGCCCGTAAATTTGTTGATTCTATGCTAAGGTTAAAAGTTAGGAAAGAGAGTTGGTGGGTGAGAGAAGCATTCTTTCAGCCTAATAAACCATTAGGAATGCTGTGATTTCTGAATTGTGTGATACTGGTGTGTAAACTTGTGCCTGCCTACCACCTAAATAGCTTTGTTCTTATTTACAGAACAATAACTTAATTTCTTCCTCTACTTTCTTACTTTTGGCTCTCTTTTGTTTAATGCTTCCCCTTATGCATTCCTTTATTATCTTTGATCTGTTATACTTTATTTTTTCATATATACCAGTGATTTAAATAAGAATTCAGGATGAGGCCGATTTAAAATTTTTTCCCATAAGACATTTCTCTTCTGAATACAGTATAGTTAGTAGATATACTGTATACCTTTCTGAAAAGTTACCTAATTTTGTTATGTGGGCTGGCCTTTTTTGCCCATTCATTGTTCTTTTGAAAAGGCCAAGTAATGTGCCAAATGTATTGGGACTTGTTAACATTACCACAAATGTCTGAAACGTAAGAGTGACAGAATCAAACATTGCGTGTATCTCAGATTAATAGTTTCCTTTAGTGCAGGTAAGGATGTGACTGTTTTGTTAAAGGTAAGAGATTTTAGCTATCATTTAAAAAATTGCTCTGTGGGTTAAGGTTGACCGTGAATCTCTTAATGTGGATAGAACGTGGAGCTTGGGGTCAGAATGACCTGGATTTAATACAGTTCTGCCAGTTTCTTGCTATATGATTTTGGGGGAATTACTTAACCTCTCCAAGCTTCAGTTTCTTCTGTAAAATTGGGATGACAATAGCACCTATCTCAGTTTTTGTGAAGATCACATTAGCTTACAGTTAGAAACACAATACCTGGCTCAGAGTAAGTCTAATTGACTCTGTCTTGTAATATTGTTGTGAGGGCGAAGTAACAAATTTCCTGAAAGTTTTCACTGCTTGGTTGCTGTGGCAGTTTTTTTAGGGAGTGGAGGTAATGTTTGCATTAGGACTGTGATTAGAAAATAGCACTGTATGTACATACTGTACCGATAGAAAAGTAACATCTTCCTTTATAAGCATCTTAACATTTAGGGAGTTGTGTGCCCCTTTGAGAACTGGTGGACTATCCCTGGTGAAATAAGCCCATGTCTGCGCACATAACATGTTATTGGGGTTACTAGGGTGTCTGGCCCCCCAGGGGCTGGTAATGAACACTTGCTATATCATAGTGTGACAGAGTGGAAGAAGTTTTCTACAGAGAGGAGGGGTTGAGAGCATTTTGAACAAAGAACAAAGTATGAGCAAATATTCAGTGGAGAATAAAATTGTTCTAAATGAAGAAATTGTTCTGGATATAGAAAAGGCCTGCCCAGATCTGATAAGTGGGTAAGGCAGGACTGAAGTAGACGTGGGATGAAGCCCTTATCATTTTTTAGCAAATCTGAGCCCTGGACCAATTCAGCTTTTCTCCAAAGATTAGAACATTATACCTTAAATTAAATAGGAAAGACATTTCCAGTGTGTTCAAAGGGATTTAACTGTGTAAGAAAGGAAGAGAGTTCAAGAAATAAATCTTTACTGTCTAATTGATGCTGAAAATAAAATCAACCTTCACAGTTTTTCCATTCAGAGTGGTTGTATTTTAAAGGTAGGGTAGAAATTGCAGGTTACTTTCATGGATTTCTCCCAGTGAATATTTCACAGGAACCCATGATTTGGCTGTCATTCAGAGACATCAAAGGTTCACTGCATCCTTGCAGAAGCCGCCAGGTAATAGGGTCTCAGTCATTGTTACCCAGTCTGTAAGTTACACTGACACCTATGTGTAGAGGGTTAGTGTGTTCAGTCTCATTTGGCATAGCACAAGTACCAGGGCTGCTTATTTCCTCCCTACATTCTAAACAAGTTATGGTAAACACGCACACCTCCTTGCCCACTATGATTTTTAGCCCTTTTAGATGTTACTGGTATCATGATTGACCTTTCCCCCTGTCTATCCTTTGTAGACAGTGCTGATCATCTGTAGCCAACAGAAAATCTAAATTTGAGCAGCAGTGGCTCTACCAGGGATTAGTGGTTCTGGGTGACTTGCAAGACAGTGAGTCGTTGGTTTGATTTTAGGGATTATGTATGGTCTGCTCTCTTTGGCTTTCCCTTTCACTTTTTTCCCTCTGAATTCTGCTTAAGAACAGTAAGCAACAAAAAAAGGGGGGGTGGATAATAAGAGAATCACAGCGTCGTAATGATGTTAAGGTGAGGGAAATGGGACACAAGAGACCTTTCAGACCAGATTTTGTGTTTTAACTTTGGGTTGACCAGATAGAAAGGGAGGACTAATTACCCACTTTGATACAGGTCTTTATTGTGGAGTAAAACTTTGTATCACTTTTATAGGTTGAACAAATTGAAGCAGGAACACCAGGCCGGCTCAGGGTGGTAGCTCGGTCCACCAACAGTGACGAAATCATTGAAGGAGAGTACAATACGGTAAGGAATGGACTCACATCAGTGCTTCATTAGAAAGCACACAGTGTGCTTCCTGGAAATTTGCTGGGTGCTTAAAATGGCTGTTTACTCTTTCCAAGATCATTGGTTCTGTTCCCATTCTAATTTGTGACATTATAATTGGTTTTGGTACAGGGATAGCCTCAGAGTTCTCCACTGTAAGCTTAAAATACTGTTTCTCAAATGGCTGTATTAAAGTGTCAGAATTTTTAAATGAGCTAGAATTTCTCTGTCCCATGTGCTTCCCTTTCAGTTCCCCAGCCCACCACTTTTAATATGTAAAATAACTGAATTTAGTCATAAGCTATACTGTCTTTGTCTTTAATCTTGTCTAGGTTTATTAAGGAATTGTTAACTCCCTGTTTCTGAGTAAGAAATGGATAAGGATTTCTGCTATATCACGTTCACAGGATTTTTTCTAATATTGTATTTTGTTTAAACTCTTGCATTATTTTCTCCCATCCAAGTACTAACCAGGCCCAACCCTGCTTAGCTTCTGAGATCAGACAAGATCGGGCGTGTTCAGGGTGGTATGGCCATACACTAAATTCTTGCATTATTTTCTTAATGAAATATTACTTTCCAGGCCTGGGTGAATTAGGCTGGCTTAATAAGCAGAAAAAATAATGACTAAATGACATGCAAAGCCTTTTTGTTAATAGTCACTGTATATTAATTTTTCAGGTCTTACTGGCAATAGGAAGAGATTCTTGCACAAGAAAAATTGGCTTAGAAGCTGTGGGGGTAAAGATAAATGAAAAGTAAGAAAAAATCTTTCTTATATCTTATTGAATACTATTCCAGATACTTCTAATACTGATTAATATTGGAGTTTTAGATTTTTAAAGTTATTTTTATCATAGAGAATTCCCTTTTTAAGCTCAGAAAAAATCTTACAGTGCCACTCACAGTATTTTCTGTTTGCTTTATTTTTATTTTTCAAAATCTAAATGAGAGTTGTAATGGCTTGCTTTTTGTTTCTTTAATGTGTACAGAAAAAGATCCAGCCCTCAGTTAATTGTGGGTATGTGCTTTACCTTCATTAAATATGTAAATTTGAATCATGTTTCAAGCTACGGAGTTTTAGGATCACTAGAATGGTTACTACAGTTCTCCTGATAGTTCCAAGTATGAAAACTTTTATTTCTTCAAGGATTATAAAAGTTAAAATCCTTTGGACTGTACCCCTGCACTGGATAACTGAGACTCTGGTATTTGCTTTTGGGAGCAGCAAGGGGTATTTCCCAATATCACCTTTCTTACATCCAAATAAAAGCATGTGGTGTGAATGGCAAGCTCCCTTGAAATAATGGCAAGCTGGTACTCCTTGGAGGAATCACATTTATTCAGGAGAAGAGAATTCTAATCTTAGCATGAAGATTATTTTATCTTCATTTTTTTATAACTTGCTGGCCTGTTTCCAGTTGGTTCTAAGGTTCAGATTTCATATGTTAATAGCTAACATTTATTCTGTACTTGCTGTGAGCCGTGGACTATTGTGCTGAATGTTTTATATGCTTTCTCATTCAGTCCTCACAACCCCTTATGGTAGATAGGTGATGGTGTTCTTTTTCTTCTCACTATTATTCCCATGATCATTATTCCCATTCATAGATGGGGAAGTGAGGCTTACAGATGGTAAATAGCTCTCCCAAGATCACAGAGGTAATAACAAACACACCTGGTTATTACAATTTAGAATTCTTATTCTTAATCATAAGTGTATTCTAGCTTTCTCATTCCAGGGTTTCTTAATAGTTTTCTTATTCCTTTAATTTTCAAAGTAGCAGCGAGAATCACCTCTGAGCACTCATTTCCCCTGAGTTGTTTTGCTTTGGTAATACATTAAAATGTTGCCTGAGCCAGAGTCACAATTTGGGGCCTCTTTGGGATAGACTGGAGTTTTGTTCTACTTAATTAATAGTGGTAATTGATGATGATTTTTAACCAAATGGATTTTCAGGACTGGGAAAATACCTGTCACAGATGAAGAGCAGACCAACGTGCCTTACATTTATGCCATTGGCGATGTGCTGGAGGGGAAGCCGGAGCTCACCCCAGTAGCAATCCAGGCAGGAAGATTGCTGGCTCAGAGGCTCTATGCAGGCTCCACTGTCAAGGTGAGTGCCACGGTCTCACCCACTGCAATACTGTTTTTAATAACACTCCCAGTTCCCTGTCTAGGGATAGTTGGGAAGTTTTCCAGGTCTAATAACAATTTAGTTATTTTGATGATGGCATCCTATATGTGCTTCATTAGCTGAATTCCAAACGACATTGTTAAGGATGCTGTGCCTTTGTGACTTTATTAAGAAAATTGTCACTCTTGGAAGCACACCAAGAATAAAATGAGCTTGATTAATCACATTTCAGCACTATTATGTTTCATATAGTCATAATAGCATTTTCTGTCAATTATTACCAAATTAAGAAATCTTTTTATGGCACATACCTAGTCTATGTAAAAGGATTTGGGGATCTAGGTAGTAATGTCAATATCCAGAGCTGCTTAAACCAGTATTCAGGCTTTATTTCCCTGTTGTTTCTAAAAATACATCTTCTGCTCTTGGAATGTTGAATGTGTTATATTAATATTTTAATATGGTTTTTAAAAGTCATTGTAGGAATTTAAAACTCTTAGGTATGTTCTATGAGACCAGTTATTGAATGCATGTCTGCTCATGGTGATTTGGTTTTTGTTTTTCTTTTTAAAAAAGTTTATTTTAGCTGGGGTGGGAGGTGAGGGTGGGGAATGGGGAGCAACTGCTGATGAATGCAGAGTTTCTTTGTTGGGTGATTAATTTTTCTGTATTATATTGTGGTAATAGATGCATGACTTTGTAACTATACAGAAAAACCATTGAGTTGGGAACTTTGAAAAGGTCAATTTTATGGTATGTGAATTATATCTAAAATTTTAAGAAGGGAGGAAGGAAACTAGGACTAAGAGAGAATATCCAAGGAAGAACAAACAAACTTGGAATGATGTGGGAAGAGGGCTCCCCAAGGCAAAAAAAAAGTTTATTTTGCCCTCATTTTTGAAAGATATTTTTACTAAATATAAAGTTTTAGATTTACAGTGTTACTTTAGTCTTGTGGTTGCATGCATTCCAAAAAGAAGCGAACTAACATTTTTATCTTTGTTTCTCTTAATATTTTTTAATTATTATTATTTTTTTTTAGAAATTTGATTATTGCATGCCTTGGTATGCTTTTCTTTATAATTATACTGCTCATGGTTTGTCCAAGACTCTCAGATTTATCTATTTACAGTTTTCATCAAATTTGGGAAATTTTCAGCCATTTAATTACTTTTTTTCTGTCTTTCCCCTTTTATATTTTCCCTTAGCCTCTGATGAGTGAACGTGGGTTCACTCGATATTATCCCGTGGGTCTCTCATGCTTTGCTGCTGCGTCCCTGTTCCACGCCCCCCCCCCCCCCCCCCCATCCTGCCTCATCTCAGTGCTTCATTTTCTTAGAGAACCTATTGTGATGGCTTCAAATTCACTGATTCTTTTTTTTTTTCTTCTGCTTTGTCCTGGGCTGTTAATCCCAATCTGTGTTGTTGGTGCTTCAAATAGTTTTTTTCATTTATTTAAAATAAATTTTCCTTTTTTTTCCCCTCAGCAGGTTGTTTTCCTTTACCTTGCTGAATAGACAGGACATAGTTATAATAACTCTTTTAATGTCCTCTGCTAATTCCACCATCATTTTTTCAGTGTCTGTTTCTATTGGTTGATTTGTACATTGTACATTGTTCAGTGTTGGGTTTTGTTGAGTTGCTTTATACAGTGTCGGACTTTGTTCTGATAGCCCTTTAAGTTACATAGGATTGTTTTACCCCTTTTTAACAGGCTTTTAAGCTTTTTTAGGGTCTGGCAACAGCAACCTGTCATCTAGGGATGATTTAGTTTCACTGCTAAATTGATGCGCTTTGGAGGTCTACTCTGTTGCTCTTACATGATGCATTCTTTCTACCCTGGCCTTGCAAACAAGAAGTACTTCCAGTCCAATTAGAGCTCTCGTCATTTTGGGGCCCAGTGCTTTCCAGTGGTTCTTTCCTAACCCTTGAGTACTTTCCTGTGACATGTTTACAGTACTCAGCCCGAACCTCAGGAGGACCCCACCACAGACCTCAAGAGTTCTCCTTGTGCAGCTTTGCCCTCTGTGGGGTTCTGCCCTGTAGCTGTTGTCCAGTGTTTAAAAGGTGTCACTTCATGTTTGTCTGGTTTCCTAGTTGTTTAAAGCAGGGAGGTAAATCTGGTCCCTCATACACCATTAATACTGTAAGCAGATGTCTGCCTTTACTTTTGAATGAGAATTCCAAAGGTTAATCTTAGAAGAAAAGGATTATACTTATTCTCTCTAGAGGGAGGCACATTTGAAGATTTCACCCTACTGTTTTAGAGAGTAAGAATTCAATTTCTCATATTTTAAATGCAGAATGGCCCCCCTCTATGGGCAAATGTGACTGGGTAGGTTTTTATCAAATAGGATTTACAAACATATTTTGCATTTACATAATAACAGTTTTCACAGTGCACATCAGCATATTAAAGGCTCTGAGAAATGTGGTATTTGAGAAACCTATTTATTTGCTTAATACAGCATTTTACAACTTCTTTGACTTCAGAATCCTTTTATCATCTGTGCCTATTAACATAAAATACGCTTTGGAAATAGTTAGAATCATTAACTTTTTTTTTTTTATGGTTTTCATTTCATTTTAATGGCTGCATAATATTACACTGAGTGTGTATACTATAGAACCACTGCCTTATTTGCATTTTAAAGCTATTCCCACTATTGAAGAGAAGCACAGCATTGCTCAGTTAATGCACGCAGCTTTTCCTATATATTAAGTTATTATAGATGTCTAAGAGTAGGGTTATGGGCCCAAAGGTATAAAATATTTTTTATGAATCTTAATATGGATTACCTAATTAATTTTTCAGACATCTATTAGTTTCTGTTACCAGTAAAGAAACCATCAGCTTTGGTTACATTCGTATTATTTTAGGCTGCTTTATTAAAGTGATAAAGGTATGTTTTTATTGTTAACATCACGTGAATCATTCATGACTTTAAATATCTGCTAAAACTTCATCACATTAGTTCATGGTTTTTGCACAGTAGATTTGTATCTGGGATTGTGACTTCCCATATTTTTGATAGAAATGTATTAGTCTGCTTTCTTCCCCTAATTGTGAACCTTTTTTGAGTTACAATATCTTGTCTTAACTCTTGTCCATTTTGAAACAGTGTGACTATGAAAATGTTCCTACAACTGTATTTACTCCTCTGGAATATGGTGCTTGTGGTCTTTCTGAAGAGAAAGCTGTGGAGAAATTTGGGGAAGAAAATATTGAGGTAAGTTCTCTTTACTCCTATGGTAAGTTACTATCACTAGCTTTTCAAAGTTAAAAATCATTTCAAGCATACAGAAAAACAGAGAAATAGTACAAAGAACTTTTGTATACTCATTATTCAGATTTATGTATTATTAACATTTGCTCATTTGTTTTTTACATTTCATAGTCTCTCTCTATTTCTGTGTATCTGTGTGTATTTTTTTCCCTGGACCAATTGTGAATAAGTTGAATGCCCATTTCCTCGTAAATATTTCAGTATTTCCTATGAACAGGGACATTTTCTTATGAAATCACAGGATAGTTGTCTTGTTTGGGAAACTTAATACTGATACAGTACTTTTATCTGACCTACCTTCTGTTTTTCTATTTTGTCAGTTGATCCAGTTATACTTACTACATTTTAGAACCACTTTTACTGGTTTCTTTTTTTAAAATTAAAACAATATTGTTGGAAATAAGAAAAATAGGGGAAAGTACAAAGAAGAAAATTAAAAGTTAATTACATTTCCACTGTTCTGTTAAGTTTTTCCCAACTTTACCAGTATCATCTCATTTATACTAACTTTACCACTCACCTTTTTTCATACAGTTAAGGAAAGTGCACACAAAGTACACTAGTTTCATATACATAAATAATGCTACAACCTGACTGCTGCTTTTTAAATCATTTGGGAAAGGTTTTTAGTAAAACCTTCTAAAAGATCAGATTTGTGAATCAGCAAGTTTTAGGATGTGATTTTATTTTAAATCCCTTACTAATCTTTGTCTTTATTATATACATTAGTAGTAGCATGTAATATCTCAGTCTGTTACTAACACATTATTAACTTTTTTCTGACTCTAAAAATAATCTTCATAGGAAGTTTGAAAATTAGGAAAATACAAAAAAGGAAATTTTAATTCATGAAGTGATAACTGCTAATGAATATTTTGGCATATTCTAGTCTCTAAGTACTTTTGTGTATTTTTGTATATTGTATAATGTATAATTTTATGTAAGTGCATACACCTTAAATGTTTTTAAAAGTGCGATTAAGTTATGTGCATTTTTCCCTCTATTTTACAATTAATCTTAGGTCAAAAATATTTCCCCCTAGAAACAACATTTTTAAAATACCCTTTTTTAAAAAGGACTTGTATTATACATCCTTTTTAGGGATGCTGTATAATAATTTTTTTTTGCTTTTATTTATTAGGCTGTTTACAGTTTTTCACCACTGGTAGAATGAGGAACTTCTTCATGATTCATTGTCTTTTTCTCCGATTATTTTCTGAGAATAGATTCCTATTAAGAAATATTTAAATTTTAAGGTTCTTGCTATATATTCCACTTCTTGACAATGTATGGATTTTGTTTTATTAAAATTTGCATTTTTATTATAAGAATAATACATTTGAGTTGAAATTTTGAAAAATGTAAGGGAAATGGGAAACAATTACTCATAGAGTTATGTTTGTAACATTAATTGTTAGCAATTAGGTGTAACTTCTTTAATCGTCTTTTTCCTGTACAATTGTTGTGATACTATATATTCAATTTGATAACCCATATTTTAAGAAAAATTCATATCACTTTATAATATAAAAGAACACGTACTGTACTGTCTACATAATCAGTATGTTTTTAAAAGGCAGCCAACCATATACAATATGTTTTGAATTGAGGCTAGCAGTTGGAGGAGAAAATAAATCCGTTTAGTCATCCAGGGCTTAAGTTTATGAAACATCTACAAGGATGTCTGTGTCCTTCCATTTGCCCATCTTCCCTCCCTCCTTCTCTGCTTCCCTTCAATACTTTTGGTGAACAGTGCCGAAGGAGGAAATGTCTTTGGAAGTATTGAGCAAGAAAACTAGGTAATTGCTGTCATTGTTGCTGGCACTTATTTCTTGCCCAAAGTTGTCATTCCTCTCAGGTAACAAGATAGTGTTGGTTTTGTTTTTTTAATCCATATGTTAATTCAAGACAGCAATAATGACATGGCTTCTTTCTCTCATTTGCTTGGTCTTTGTTGTCATTGCTTAAGGTTTACTCTTTTGAGCCTGACATGTAGTTAAAAGATGAGCATATAGCAAAAGGACCTGACAATAGGAATTTATAAAGTAATTCGCTTTCTGACTGGATTCCTATTTATTCCATGAATTTTGTTGGTGTTTTTGTGTTTTTTTTTTTTAATTTTAGTTTTCAGTTACGTTGGCATTCATTATTATTTTATATTAGTTTCTGGCATACAGCAGAGTGGTTAGACAATTATATAATTTACAAAGTGATCCCCCCAATAAGTCTAGTATGCACCTGGCACCTAACGTAGTTATTACAGTATTATTGACATTTTCTGTGCTGAACTTTACTTCCCTGTGAATATTTTGTACCACCAGTCTGTACTTCTTAATCCCTTCATCTTTATCACCCAGCCCCCTAACCCCCCTCTGCTCTGGCCACCATTGGTTGGTTCTCTGCATCTATGAGTCTGTTTCTGTATGAATTTTATTGTTTATTGAAAGTCTGTAGAGCCTCCCTTGTCTTTGTACCACAGCTAGTGTTTGAGAAACATGCTTCTTAAGATGGTGGGTCTAATTGTGCTTTTATCTTCTTAGGTTTACCATAGTTACTTTTGGCCATTGGAATGGACGGTTCCATCAAGAGATAGCAACAAATGCTATGCAAAAATAGTCTGCAATATGAAAGACAGGGTAAGTGCAATTCTCATTTAATCCTTTCAGCCAACTTCCTTTTGTTTTTAATATGTGGCTCTGTTTTGATCACATGATGCACATTGCATTCCTTTACCATTTGACCTGTCAGTCTCCCCAGGGCAGTCATCCCGGGGCGAGGACCATGGCGACATGCTTGATCGCCCCTCAGCTTCACTGGCACGGAGCCCAGCGCATAGTAGACAGGCAGTTAAACTTGCTGAGCGAAGGGGCCAGAGGGACAACTTGAGAACTCTGTGTGTGTGTGTGAAAGGGAATTAATTTAGTCGTCGATTATCTAAAAATAATGACAAAACAAAAAAGGACAGGGGTAGTGCAGGTTTACATCCTAAAGCAGCTGGCACAAATGAGGAAGCAGTAATGGGAAGAACTCTTAATTGGATTCTTTTTTTTTTAATTGACGAGAGAAAGAGACTCTAAGTTGTTTTGTACTTACTTATGCATTCGTTAGTTGCTTCTTGTATGTTCCAAGGTTGTGAAATCAAACTCGCAACCTTGGTGTATCAGAATGATGTTCTAACCAACTGAGCTACCTTGCCAGGGCTTAATTGGGTTCTGATTTAAGAGTTTATTGCTTGCTGCTGCATGTAGCAGTTGATCATGAAGGCCTATGAGCAAACTGCCTGACCTCGTGGTTTGTTTCTCTCCTGACAAAGCAGTGGAATAAATCATTGGTTTTCAAACTATTCTGACTGCTGCCCCCTCATTTTATATTGTAACCCCAGGCACGTGTATGTCCATACACATACTCTGTAAGTGTTGTGGATTAAATCTTATGAGAACTGGTATTTTTAGCTTGGCTGGGATTTTACTTAAGAAAAAATGTCCCCAGTAAAAATATAAATGATGCTAAAGAATCCATGTGTTAAGAGCCGAATAAACCAATAATTTTTTATCTTGGATTTGAATATAACTAACCTATATATCCTGCTTAGAAGTAATTGCTCTAGACAGTAGCATAGAAGCATGTTGCTTTTTTCAGAACCCAGGGTTCTAGGAAAACCTCGATCCTCTGGAAAAAAGGTCATTATATATGCACTTAATAAATCAATATACTAGGACAACCTGTAATGAGCTATATACAATTGACATAAAAAACAATTTTTAGATAGAGTTTTTTTTCTTTTAGACAAATTTTATTAGAAGTTTATTTGTGTGGGTATGTATTAGAAAGGAAGTTAAGTAATTGTGCCAGGGCATGTACTAGTTAATGGCAGAGCTGGAATTCAGCCTCAGACAAGGTGGATTCCATGTTACTAACCAGTATCCCATGTCTGTTTAGTCTTTTGTAGTCCTCCTTGATCCTGTACCCCTCATTTATTCCCTACCCCAGAAGCGACAGTTCTCTTGGAGTGTCTCGTCTGTTCATATTTTGTTTGCCAAGTGTGATATATCCCTAAACTTTATACATTGTGGTTTAATTGAGCGGTATCCTCAGCTAAATAGAGGCCTGCAACTTGTTTTTAATCTTATTTTTTGAGCTCTATTCATATTATTACATTTACATCTAGTACGTTTTAAGACCTAGTATATGCTTTGTTTACCCATGCTCAGCCCCTGATTGTCAGGCCGAGAGCTGTCAGCCCAGCATGGGGTATATCTCAGTACTTTGGCAACAGAATGGCTTTGATTGCTTTCCATAGAGAGGTCAAACCTTAGATAAGGCCCTTCACCCCACAGCCTGAGTCACCACGTCTGGTATGAGGAGATTGGGCTAGACAGTCTAGCTCAGTTGGAGTTGGCTCTGAAAGTCTAAACAATGGAATGAATCAGATTTCTGTGCTCTTGGCAGAGTTTTTCCTGAATTTGGGATTTAGAATTTATGGGAAACAGTTCCTGCACAGGTATTTTAGAGTTGCCAAATATTTTTTCTATTGCTTTCAAAAATGTTTTCAGATTGGAAGGGACTTAAGTTTAATTGTGCTATCTGTCCCCCAAACCTGAGTTAAATGAATTTTAATTTGATTATGTGTTCTTAAATGTTTTAGCTATCACAGATGGTTTATCTGGAGGTTTGAGACAGCCAGATAGAGGAAATGAGGACACAGCTGCCCTTTGAAATCATTTCTCAGAACATTTTCATGCTTCTGGAGTTGCAGACAGCGTTGCTTTTAATGTTTCCCTTCATCATCACTCGTGGCCAGCTCTTGTCCTTTTCTTCTTGCTTGATGTGACCCCACGCTCTATATGGGCCCATGTGGAAGTTATCTTCAGCCTAAACAGCTTTTAGCAGCAGGCATTAATACGAGTATAAGTCTTTGGCCATTTCTGAATGGGGTTTCTAGAATGGACTGGGAAAAAACTCTGGGCCCTTAAGTGGGAGAAAAGTCAGTGTAATTGTAATACTTGATTTTATACCTTAGGAACGTGTTGTGGGCTTCCACGTACTGGGTCCCAATGCTGGAGAAGTTACACAAGGCTTTGCAGCTGCGATCAAGTGTGGACTGACCAAACAGCAGCTGGACAGCACCATCGGAATCCACCCCGTCTGTGCAGAGGTGGGTCACCTACACTTGCAAAGCTCCGCACAGCATCACCAGGCTTCCAAGTGGCAGAGCTGGGACTCTGAAGCTAGCGTTCTTTCCGTTGTGCTCCAGCTACTCCTGTACCTCCTTACAGCTTATTAATGACTGAGAATACCTCAAAAGAAGGCCTTGTCTCTAGAACCCATATTATCCTCTTTCAAGTAGATAGTACTGTCGTGCTACTATTTGGTAAAAGCCGTGGGATTGATTTCTAGAGATGTGCCTTAAATCTTTTACTTATCATATCTTCTGAATTATTTTCATTGGCTGTTGGTTAACAATGCCATTCACTCCCAGAAAGAGCTTCAATGCTAGTTCTCTTGGGGCCACATTGAGGCCAAATGATACGTGCGCTTCTTTAGCTTTTGCTGGCAGAGAATGAGCTTTGAAAATGACGCTTTTAAAAGATCAGGCAAATGATGCCCTGGCTGGTGTGGCTCAGTCGATTAAGTGAGGCCTGTGAACCAAAGGGTCGCTGGTTCAATTCCCAGTCTATGGCACATGCCTGGGTTGCAGGCCAAGTCCCCAGTAAGGGGCGCGTGAGAGGCAACCACACATTGATGCGTCTCTCCCTTCTCCCTCCCTTCCCCTCTCTAAAAATAAATAAATAAATCTTTAAAAGATTAGGCATATGACAATAGAATTGGAAAATGACCACACTGGGCCTCTGGGTGTCAGTGTTTCTTCACATTGTCAGTGATTATTCAAGACTTCAATGTTGTGATGCCTACTGTTAGCTACGGATTATGTCTCTGCTGGAGAACTTGGTGAAGATTGGGAAGAGCTATCTCAGACTAGCTTAAGTATGGAACTGAAATTATACCTGTCTTCTGGCCCCCATAGTCAGTGGTTTCCACAGTGAACCTTGTGCTTGCGCACATACACACACTCCTGCCAGGCTTCATTCGGTGCCTGCTACCTCACTGTTCCCCATCCGTGATTGCCCCTATGCAGCTGAGCTCTTTGCTGAGTATGAAATGTCAGCGTCAGGACGTGGGAAAATGTTTTCGTTCTTTTGCTTTGCTGTATTAGAGATAGTGTCCTCCCCTAAATTTTTATGCATCTTGCTGAGATGGCAGCATAAAACAACATGTTCAGTGACTAGGGCATTATTCATAGAAAACTGCTGTCTTGTGAACTAAAACTAAGCTTCAAAAAATATAAAAATTGAAGAGTCTAGATGAATGTTTTCAAAGAATGTGCTGTGATAATATCTTTTGTTCAGTGTAATGACTGAGACTGTTACTATCTGCCTGGGGAAGGAGCCAATTAACTTCGTTTTTTCAAAAACACTTTTAATGAGCATGTTAATTTTTTAGGGCTACAGTAACAAAGTACCACCAACTGGGTGGCTTAAACCAACAAGCTTGTTCTCTCACAGCTCTGGAGGCTAGAAGTCTGAAAGCAAGGTGTCAGCAGGGCCACGCTCCCTCCGGACGCTCTAGAGAAGAACCCTATTTGCCCCTCCGAGCTTTTCGTGGTTGCTGGCAACCTTTGGTGTTCCTTTGCTTACAGATGCATCACTCCACTTTCTGTCTCTGTCTTCATATGGCCTTATCTCCCACGTGTCTGTGTCAGATTTCCCTCTTTTTATAAAGGCATCAGTCATTGGATTAGAGCCTGCTGTAATCCATTACAGCCTCATCTTAACTTGGTTACATCCGCAAAGACCCTATTTCCAAATCAGGTCACACTGATGGGTACCAGGGCTTCGGACTTGAACATATTCTTCTGGGGGGCTTAGTTCAACCCACAACAGTGAGTGTATTTAAAAACCTTGATGCAGTCCTAAGATACGTAAATGCTACCACAATCATCTCCAATATGAATGGAAAGCTAACTTTCCAATTTACATGTGTGTCTAATTTTTTTTATCTGAATTCAGCTCTTGCTGGGCTGGTTAGAAGCCTGCCAAGGGCTTGACTCCTTCTGCCCCCCTTCATGGTGTGTGTTGTGCTGCGATTCCGGCAGTGGGGAGCCGGCTGCACCTGGCAGGGTGGCTGCCAGCCGGGCAGAGGAGCAGTGAGGAGGCGGGACGTCTTACTGAAGCCCCTGCCTGTTCTCCGTGGTATACCTGGCACATTTGGGAACCTTTTTTCTTTAAAACATGTGCCTCTGTGCATCTCCATCTGTTCTGTCTTATGACTTTGAAGCTCAGAAGCTAATTTCCACTGCTTTGATAGGGCTTTCCACACCCCCGCCCCATTTTTCCTAGCTGGTAGCTGATGAATGAGGTAAAAAGTTGGGTGCTCTCTCACTGTGGACACGTTTGTTGTGCAGTGACGTGCATAGCGCTGTGCCGGGCACTTGGGAACGTAGCAGGGATTTGAGACCATTAAGAGCAGGGAGGCAGGTGAGGGAAGTACCAATCACAGTTCAGTGTGTCAAGCCCTAGGGCAGTACTAGTATCAAGTGGTGTTTGGAGTAGGGATATCGGAGCAGGGTCATTGAGGGAGTGCTTGCCTAAGACTGAAAGAATGTGTTGGTGTTAGCCAGTCAGAAGGAACACCAAATAAAAGCCTTCATAGGAGCAAGCATGGCTCATTCAGGGAACTGAAAGACCCTCAATACTGCTGTAGCTTGAAAAGCTTAGAGAGGAGTTAGGAACAAAACAAAACATATATGTATACACATGCACACAGTGGAGAAGTAAGTGGAAGGTCATGCATGGCCTTGGAAACCAGGGTGCAGGGTCTTTTGACTTTATCCTGAGGCATGGGGATTCTGTGGAGAGAAGCTTACCGCAGAGGAATAACGTGATCAGGTAAGATATTGAGAAAAATTGCTCTTGCTCATTAAAAAAGGGACTGAAGGAAGCATGTCTAGAGGCAAGAGTGGCAGCCTGCACTGGGCTGGTGGCAGTGGAAATTGAGAGGCACTGATACGTTAAAATAGGAAACAGAGTCGATAGTACTGGACAGCTGTTTGGAGATGTGAACAGGGAAGAACTGAGAATGATTCATATTTGTGGCCTGAAGTGGGAAGCAGTAAGTAGAAAGAGCAGGTCTGAAGGGGAAACGCTGAAAGTAGCACTGATGTGTATGAGGGTTGCTGTGTGTGTCTGGCACTCTGCAATGTGTGTATTGACGTATTTAGTCCTTAGAAGATGCTCATGAGATGGGTGGCAGTAGTATCTCCATTTAACAGATGAGGACAGAGGGGTTGAGTAACTTGTCCACAGTAACCAGCTTGGAAATGGCAGAACCGGAATTCAAACCCAGCCGTCCGGCTCCCGAGGCCCCTTGCTGTACAGATGGTACTCCCATTTCCACAGACCTTTCTACAATATTTGACATAGAATTTAAAAAAAGGGAAATGACTTATTGGTGGTACCATGAATGCACTGGAGACAGAGACCTGGGTTGTAATCTCCCTCGGCAGTTTCTTTCCCGTGAACCTGGCTGTATCACCCAGCTTTCCAAGAGCGTGGTTCTCGCGTTAAATGAAACAGAGATAAGAGCTAACTCAAAGGGCTGGTGAGCAACCCTTTTCCACACAACAACAAAAGGGTTGTGTGGAAAGTGGAGGTGTCTCGGAGAGTTCCTGGCATGTGACTATCTACCTCTCTCAGCTGGGTTTCCCCAGGGTATTTCCTTATAAATGTGGCTCCACTGGACGTCTTCATTACAGTATTTTGAAGAGGGTTGGGAGGGATGTGTATTTTGAAAAAGCTCCTCTGGATTTTTTTTTTTTTTTTTTTTTAAGCCTCTTGTTATGAACTACTTGCTTAGAAACTAGATTTTGAAAAACCAAAGGCTTCTGAGCCCTGCTGATGGAAATCTTTTCTCAAGCTGCTTGATCAAGGGCAAGTGAAATTTGATACGTAGGGGATTTTAGGAACTCTTTTTTTCTGTGCTAAATGCTGGGTTCGGACATGGGCTTGCTACTGGACCCACGGTTTTTCATGTCAAGCCATATACTGTAGAGGGTTGTTGTACAAAATGCTGGCCATAGAATGTTACTAGTCCTTACTAAGTTAAGGATGGAAATAAAGAAGGGTTTAGAATTTGACAGTCTCTGATCTAATAATTAAAAATTGTGTCTTAATTTTATATGGCTTTTAAATCCCCAGGGTATTTTCCATTTTTATTGAATTTCACAAATGTCAGTCCATTAATAATAATTTAAAAACTGATTGTGAGCACAGCTTTAAAGCATTCAGAGCTAGTCACAGCTCCCAGGCCAGCTGTGAGTGGTTCACAGAATGAGTCATTGAATGACATTTCCCATACTGTTTTGATAAAATAACCAGGGCAGTTGAGCAGTCTTTAGTTTTGAAGAATAATTACTTTAAAAAGTCAACAAATTCCTCAGTTGAGGCTTTACTCTTTGGAGCAAAATCTTTTCTAAAGGGTTTCCTTCTGGAATTGCTCTAAGAGGAGGGGGACTGTTCTCGTTTTTGACTGAAAGCCTCCTGGTGTCAGTGTGTAAGGGTGGGAGCATCAGTAATGCATTAACATTATTCAGTGTGAAGATAGTGTGGTGATAATTGCTTGTGGACATCTGAGCAGCAATAATTGAATGGGACACTGATTGTACATCATCTGTGGTAGTAACTTCAACTAATCAGGTTTGTAGGGGAAATACAATAGCTCAAAAGGAAAGAATATTAGAAAAGACCCAGTGAAATGTCTTAAAATGAATTTCAGTGCCCACCATTAGACTTCTCTTTTTTAAGATTTTATTTATTTATTTCTAAACAGAGGGGAAGAAAGAGAGAGAAACATCAGTGTGTGGTTGCCTCTCAGATGCCCCTTACTGGGGACCTAGCCCGCAACCCAGGCATGTGCCCTGACTAGGAATCAAACTGGCAAGCCTTTGGTTTGCAGGCCAGCACTCAGTCTACTGAGCCACACCCGCCAGGGCAAATGTTTTGTTTTAATAGTCAACATAATCACAGTCTAGAGTGAGGGGTTCTTGCAAGGCAGGGAGGTATTGGGCCCGATGTGAAGGCCAGGTGGAGCCTGCAGCAG